TAAGCGTGATGCTATATGAAGAGTGGTCTTTGTTCATTGTGAAGTAGGTGGACCCTGGCAGAGCAAAAGATGCAGAGGGACCTCTTTGTGTAACTGGGTTAAAAAGTCAGGACTTCAGGGACAATGCATGAAAGGTACACAACCCTCACTTTTATGTCATACATTGGCAGCTAATAGCCACTTTTGTGCATTCTCAACCTTTGTGCATTCTATTGTATGTGAACGATTCTCCTGCTCTAGACATTCATTTCCATGATTAAAGTAGGTTGATCCGAGCTGATTTGGTTGAGTTACGCTCACACAAGATTACATCGGTTGAGCTACATCGAGCGTGCTTTATGTCCAGAGTGATGTAATCTCTCTTTGACCGCAGCTCAGTCAAATCAGCTCGGATCAACCTACTTTAATCATGGAAATGAATGTCTGGAACAGGGGCATCGTTCCCATGCAGTGGATCTTAGAACAATGGTGTTTGGATAAAAGTGGCCGTTAGCTAGCAATACATGCCTGTTCCTAGATGATCCATAAAGTAATTATACATTGGCCCATTCATTCATGCAAACGTAGCTATGTTACACAACACGCCCCTCTGCATCTTTTGCTCTGCCAGGGTCCACCTACTTCACAATGAACAAAGACCACTCTTCATATAGCATCACGCTTACAAACATAAAGGTGCCTGTATCTCCAAACTTTACAATGAAACGTGGGGGTTTTATTAGAGCAATGTGCTCGGCTTGGCCAACAGCACCTTGGGTGCAAGTTTCACGATCAAGCTTGCCAATCCCAGATTTCGCAATGTCGCTACCAGCCAAACTGGATCTGGGGGTCGACCTCTTCGACGACGACGACCAAAAAAATATTTTTTGGGCTAGTTGCGACATTGAACGTGAAACTTTCACACAAGGTGCTGTTGGCCAAGCCGAGCACATTGCTCTAATAAAAACCCCACGTTTCATTGTGGAGTTTGGAGATACAGGCGTCTTTATGTTTTACCTATGCTGTCGTGATGGAGTTGCTTTTCCTAGTGGATGGTGTCGGCTGCATTAACGGAAAGATGAAGAGCTGAGTGAAACGGCACGTGGTGGTTACACAGACACGTCCTTGACAGGTTGCTACACAAATGGATGATGATGATGATTGCCTTTTGTGAAGGTACGTAAGTAAACAGCATCCAATAATGAAGGTGTGTCAAGGTATGCATCACATTTTTATGTAGAAGAAAGTCGAGCTGCATAAACCAATTGTATATGTAAAAAGATACGTATACATATTGAATGAGTCACTCATCCTGAAACTCAATGGAGGGATCACTTCACTTTTTCTCTTCTCAAGCTCATCCCACTTCCCACTCCTCCTTATTGTATCACAAAAGCCATGTATTTCTTGCATGACCGATAACCGGACCACCTTTATTATTCCATCTTCCAACCAATAGTATGTAATCCACAAGCTAGCAACCTCCAACAAGCGTGTAATAAATAAACAATGCTTTATTCCATCTAGCTATCTTGCTACTGTACATTGCCACCACCATCGTCGTAGTCGTCCTCCGTCACCATTCGTACTCGTACTTGCCACCAGTCGTCAATCTCATCCGTCACACCAACATCCAAAAATACACAAGTTGAAAAGAATGGGATCTTGCAGGCTTCCTTTTGTATCTCGTTGTCGTCATCATTGTCATTGTTGTGGATGGGGTGATCATCGTAATCGTCATTGTTGTGAATGTGGTAATCATCGTAATCGTCGTCTCTATAAATAAGAAAGCAAGCAAGTTAGATCATATGATGCCGGGAATGATTACGATTTGGTATACCGTTAGGCGATCCTCCCCAAGGAAGAAAGCAAATCAGAAGGAATTCACAAATCAAATCACCACCGTACGAGCAACGTCGGGAGATCCCTTGTTCTTGAGAAAGCACTGCACGAATCACGCAAGGCCAGTTCGATCCATGGCAAGGAAGGACGTCACTTACGTAGAGTCCAGGCTCATAGTTGTTCTCATTCATCCTCTCCAAAGAAAGAATGATCCCCAATCCTTCCAATCATTTTCCCACCTCATGAAAAGAAATCCTCAAGGGAAAGAACGAGCCTATCACGAGAAGAGCGTGTTGATTCGCCCTGATGTCAACACATTCACGGCCGGGGCGACTACAAGCTGTTGCAAATCCCCTTTTACCTCAACACGGTGACCATGCTCTTCCAAAAACCCATCGTCGTCGACCCATCAACTCAACGCAGGCCTGTAGCGCCCTGGACGCGTTCCAAGAAGCTTTTCCAGCACACTTGGCAGTGCAGAGCGACGCAGCAGCCACTTGATACAGGCTGGGACTTGAACCCAAAGAGATGATGATGATACCCCCAAGTTGCATTGCCTGACCAAAGAAATCTATTCAATTCATTATTAGCACACACGTACAATAAAACGCCTCTTTTCATTGTTTGTTTCATTGCACTTGCCTTTTCCATAGACATAAAGATCCTTAGCTGCTGGTTGTTAGAGACCGAAAACCATGGTGTAGTGTTGTTGAGCCGAAACAGAACGCCAAACCAGCCAACGTCTTGAAACCAAACTTGCCCCCCTATATAAGCTAACACGTCAATGGAACCAGTTCGGCTGCAACATTGGACTCTCAATGTACCTGTTGACACCAAGTGTAGAGTGGGAATAGCAACGAGCAAAAGGAAGCAACAATATCGCCATGGCAACCACCAACCACCAACCACGCTCATTCCTCAGCACTTGGACACACTCACTCCCTGACAATGCATGTTCAGAACTACATTAATACCTCACAGCCAACAAGAGCACTTTTTTATAATACATTACCTTGATCGAGATGTCGTGAATGGAATAAGGAAAGGTGGGAGAAAATGAAGAGAAGCGTTGTCTCAAGTCGTGGAGCTGCTGTCCCCCAAGTTTAAATCCCCCTACTGCTATTACACTGAGGCCACTCAATTGCCCTATAGACACCATCCACCCATCATCATCATCACCCTCACAATAGACAATAGGTACACGTAAATAAAAGAAATGATGATCCTCACGTATAGCAAAAGGGTGTGTGCCATTTTACACTTTAAATGATAATGATGATCCAACAGCAGCCATTACCTTACTACCAGGTTAGCTCGAATCAAGAAAGAAAGTTAAATGATGGGCATGCTGGGCTGGTGCAGGACAATCGTTCACATGCATTGGGTTGGGCAACAAAGGTGAGTGGGAGGAAGATGCTGTTAGCTGGCAGTTTACAAATAACTTTGCAAAATGATTTTTCTCATATTGGATGATACTTCTGTGTTTGAGCGTTGTTCAATCAAATCCCCATGGATCAAGAAAGTTGAAGGATGGACATATTGTTCTGGAGCAGGGAATAGTTCGCATGCATTGAATTGGGCAACAAAGTTGATTGGGAGGAAGATGCTGTTAGCTCGCAATATGAACTGTTACTGAAAAGTGTGAAAGTAATCATGCATGGCCCCTTTTAATCCTGCAAATTGGCTATGTTACCTCTTGGACATGCTTATCAATGTTCTATTAAAAAAGAACCTATATTTCATCATAAAAATTTGAATGGGAGGGTGCAATGTGAGATTGACTACATATGGAGGTCAGCGCTGGATTCATGATTTATGGAAATAGTATGTAATGTATTATCTTGGGTTTCCCCATTTCGATCTTGAAAATTGGTCAGAAGGTTCGCTGAGACATGCTGATCAGCTTCATTCTAATAAAGACCTCACACTTCATTATAACAATTTTGAATGGGAGCATCCAAGGTAGGAGAGACGATGACCGGACAGGGTCATAAGTAAGGTGGACCGTCCATGAGCTTGAGATTGCCTATCTCGAACATGAAACTAACACACAGTGTGCTCGTTGGCACGCTGATCAACCTTGTTCTCACAATGACTCCACATTTCATTACAAAATTTTATTGCAGGCACTGTACCTGATCGCAGCAGAGTAAGGCAGGGGTATGATTTTAGGCATGAGGTAATGCATTGATGTTCACGATACATGACGCGATCTTTACGTTCATTCTTATGCATACATGTTGGTGATGAAGAGGAAGAACTTGTTGAAAGATGTAAGTATACGTATCATTGAGTCTTGAAAATGTAAGTATTAGATGCTTTTATAACGTACAGTGATGGATTATTAGAGGGGTATCTAGGTCAAGAAATTGGTATTACATGGTATAATACTAGGGATATCAACAAGACAACATGTATGGAATGACTTTAGAACGTGCTTGTATTCGTAATTTTTTCGGCCATCATGGCAACAATTGCTGCACCTATGATGCGGGAGTGCTTGATCATGCCGACTGATAGCTTGGATGCCGTATGCTCAGGTATCAATTCCTTCAATGTGCGACACACCCTTGGATGAAACGAAGGATACTCCTCATAGATCTCACCGCTAATCGCTAAAGGTAGCATTTAGAAAATCGTTTATAAGATACGATCCTCCCACCACTTACCAATAGCACACCCTCCCTGTTTTGCATTGAAGCCATTTTCTTGTTCCAAAACATGTCGTACTACAGCAGCGATAGCCGATCCCACCAACGTGGCAGCCCTTGTACCAACAAGCTGGCATACGTATTTGACGACTTCCCGATCACCGAGTGAGCAGTGTTGAATATTCATCATGTCATTCATAATAATGCGTATATCCTCCAGGTTGTGAGAGTCATCCACCTCGCACACGTACATATAGCTAACATCAAAGCTATGCATACGATTCAATGTGGTACTTGATTCACCGCCAAAGAGCACATCTTGGTCCACCAGATATGTCAAAATGTTGCGAACAAGCTCTCCCAAGCCGACTCCTGTCGTCATCTTTTCAAACATGTGATAGTATGGGTTGATTGATTCACGATCCACCTTCCTGTCAAACCATGTGCATGGCAATGTCCTTCGTGAAGCACCAAAGTTGCACCATTCAGTGTTGATAATCATCGAACGATTGGATTGTTGTTTGAAGAGTGGATGATCACGTAGCTTGACGACGTTTTTGATAGGTTCATAATAGGCACAATTCGTACCCAGGTTGTGGACAATGCCAAGTTGTGTGGATGGATGTTGATATGCATGAGCAAGCAGAGTGCACACAGCATCTAATCTTTGTGTTAATACTATCCAGGAACCATCCTCACTGAATTTGCCACTACACTCGATTACATACCATTTGTAATAGCCAACACAGCAATAGGAAGATCTTTGATTTGTATACGTTCTTGCAAGAATTGTACAATGTCCACGCCGATTCCATTCGGGTAACTGAAGCCGTAACCAAGAGACATGATGATTCCATTGTTGAGCGCCGTTTGCTTGATAGCGAAACAAATGGAGCATGCCATTGGATAAACAAAGTTGTCTTGTGTGCCAACCCTTTCAAGGAAATCCGCGATGCATTCAACCAAGTAATCGATCAACACTGTGAAATCGTCGCCACTCATCAAGTCTTGAGGAATCTTGTATTGGAACTGGTTGATGGCGAGTTTACCGCCTTCGCCCTTGAGCTTCACTTGACACACGTAGATATCCATGCCGACCATCTCCAAGGCCAAATACGTTCCTTTTTCTTGCCCACTTGGATAGCCTACCATAGACTATTAGCATTCACGTAATAAACCATTCAATGCTGAGAACAACCTGTAACAAATGTCGGGATCATGTTGAGATCGCTTGACACGTCGTCAATGAGGCCGTTCTTGAGCTCATTTCGGAAAAGGTCCACGACTGAGAACAACGTATCATGGTCGAGATGAAACATTCTTTGTAGCTCTTCGAGGGCTCTTTGTTGTTGAGGAGAGACATGTTTGAGCGAGTCGAGTGGAATGATAGGCGTTGTCGGCATGAAACAAAGAAAGAGGGAAGAAAGAAAAAGACAATGGTGAATTTCACATGAGGCACGGGATGTATCCATAGCCACATTCACACACAATATCATTGTTACGAGCTTCATCTTTTGTATTGCCAATCTCTTCCCCGCGTTGTTGCACGGTACACATGCAACAATAAGAATAATGCTTGTACCACGTAGTCATTCAAAGTAGACAACTCAGCCATTCCCTATGTGAATGCCAAGTCCTAAACAGGGTCCAACAAAGGGTTGCAATGCGGCATGTGATGACTAATTCATTTATTCTTAATGACCACCAAATTCCCTAGTAGAGTAATGTTCAGCAGCTGCTTGTGCTTGACGAGTGGCTTCTTCCTTGTCCTTGGAGCTCCAATCATGCTCTTCAGCAAACTTTACAATTTGAGAAGCTGCAAGAGCTGCCACACTTTGCTTGATAAAACTATGTGAGACTTCTTCACCTTTAGCTTCTTGATGTCGACGATAAGCCTTGACAGCTTCAAATGCAGCGGCACCAGCAATGAGCTGATGGGACAAGTGTGCCTTTTTCTCTGGTTTTTCCTGATACACTTGACGATGCAATTCTTCAGCTGTATCATCCTCGTTAATAAATGACCTTGTTTGCCTCATTTCCTTTTTCCTACTAACCTTGCTCATAGGGAACAGGAGGATTGTAACCAGCAAGGCCACCAGCAGGTGTACCATAAGGTGTATAACCAGGAACACATGTGCCTGGCATACCAGGCTGAGAAGGATCATTGCCACCGTAAGGCGTCACTGGATTGCCATACACATTGGTTTGTGGGGGTTGCTGCTGTTGCTGCTGGGGAGGTGGGGCTGCAGTGCCATATGGGTTGCCACCATAGGGGTTGGTTTGAGCACCAGCTCCTGTACCATATGGGTCACTTGGTTGGCCAAATGGCTCAATGGTCCATTGTTGGTTGGCGTTGTCACTATCCTTGCGCTCGTAAAGAATAACCTTGGTACCCTTCTTGTCACTACCACCCTATCAACCATGATCCTCGTCAACATCCCAATCTTTCTTTTCTTTCCTATGTATGATACACATACCTTGATGTCAAGCACAAGACGTGGGTTGGAAGCAACATGTACGAAGCCATTTGAATAAGCCCATCGCTGGTTTTCGGCACTTTGTACTCATTTAGCAATCGTCGGTGTATCAATCTTACTATGAACAATGACTTACGCTGTCAGCTTGCGATCATACTGAATGATGGGCTTGTCCGATGTGATATCACCTAATGAAGCCTACGCATTAATATCCTATTCTTTTCCTTGACACAAATCATGACATCGCTTACCGCCTCGAATGTCCATCACTATCAAATAACAAATCATCAGCACAACGTCTTTTATCCTTCCATCCATTTTTACACGTACCCAAGTTAGACTTTTGGTTGATGAGATAGCCACCTTCGAAGCGCCAGAGCTGATATGCAATAAAAGACGCGTAAGCAGCTATCCTCCTACCTATGATTTGGATGCCTGGTCGTTTACCTGGTTCTCGTTGTCATTGTATTTCTAAAAGACGTGTTGTTAGCATACATCAAAGGGGAGACATATCCATGATGGTACATGTAACTTACTTGTGGCCAAATGATGAGCTCGGTGTCAGCCTGGTGTTATTCAACCATCATGCATGAGTTGTCAAACACATAACACATGTTTCAAAGATGACCAATGCTTACAGAGGTTTCGCCGTTGTAGACGTCAATGACACAACCGTTTTGCACAGACTTGATGTAAAAGTAGGTATTTTGAGGAAACATAGCGGAAAGACGGAAAAGCGGCAACCCGGCAATGCAGAATCGCCTTATATACGCAATTTCTGAGATTGATTCGCTTCCCCTTCTCTCTCCTTTTGTTTACTTTTTTTGTTAGCTCAGCTATGATTATCGATGTAACGATGCTTTCACTCAACACAATGATATCTTTCGACCCCATATTCTTAGAAGGTTGATATATACCATCATCCATGATGTAATGATTGCTCTTATTCGGTTGAGAGATCAAAAGAGTGCATCATCATTAGAGGGCGCCATTGCCGAAAATAGCAATAATCAAATCATCTGCCACACGGGCCACTGCATGAATCCTCCAATGACAAGCGCCAAGCTTTCATGATGTCGGATATTATATATAGGATAATGATCGGATAAGAATAACCGCCATGATTAAAGATGCCTGTTGCTTTTGTAATGGATTTGATCATTTTTGCGTAGCGTTTCACATGCGTGTGTTTGTAAACTGCATTCATGCACGACCAAAGCTTGTTTAGCTGCACATGATCCCCAATCGTTAGGATAAGTATAGTGAGCTCGACGTTGCGAAGGTGAGTATAGCCATCCATGTTGTGGCAGTAATAGTGGGCTGATCCAATTACTCGTGTCAAGAACGTTATCTCATACACGTTGCATTCACAAGAGGCAACGAGAGTGCAAGTGGATGTTGCGCTCGTGATGTATACAAATACACAAAACCCACGGATCTAATCCGAATGTTGTAGGTGTCAGCAGATCACTCATCATCATTGGGAACAAAGTTTCAATGTATAATGTTGGGTAGAGACGCGTAGGATTTTGCACATTTATTGCTGTAATGCTATCAATGCACCTATTCTCTAGTTCTCAGCCTTTTGTTGCTTCTTGGCCTGGGTACCTAAAAGGTGGAAATGGGCATGTAAATGGATCCGTTCATATCGATTTCTCACACTTTTATGATAGCTTACCTTCACGGAAACCATTGGTGAAGCGGCGGTGGACCTTCTTCAAGTAGCTCATGCGGCCAGTACCAGTGGTTCTTCTACGCTTGGCCTTCTCGGACCAGTTGACTAGAGGGGAAAAAGGCACATTTGTTTAGCAACCCACACGTACCGCATAAACGCATGAATACAACTTACATCTACGCATCTTGGCAGCAGGGAAACCGCAGCTAGCACAGGTCTTCTTTTGCTTGTGGAAGGAACGCTTACCACAGCGGCGGCAGAGGGTGTGGCTCTTGGTCTGGCGCTTACCAAACGATTGGGTACCCTTGGTCTATAGAACGCGCATTTAGCCTCCATGTCAAAAACAAGTTCAATCGATACAGCTAAAACGGCAGCATGACAACAGAGGACATAACACGACAACAGAGAATGGTGGAAACGATGGTGTGCATTTGTGTCAAAATGGGGGTTGCCATGGTAATGTTGAAGTTGAAGAGCGGATGTCATCATTTATCCTTTTCATCCATCCATTGACGTATCCATCCGCTGTCGCTTTGTTCAATGTTGTATGCACATTTTGCTGTAATAGATTGCTGATTGATGGTGACATACCATGGTGGATTTGGATAATCGAGGGAAGGATTCATCCAGTGGCTCCCCTTTGCCGCCTTACCAAGGGGTGGTGGCCCGTGGTAACCCCTCTCGGCCAATCAGATTCCATAGCAACCTTGACCAAGCAACTAAACCCACACACACACACACACAATAAAGCGTTCCTATCGAAATATAAGCAACAATAAAGATAGTTTCAAACCCCATATACCAGTCTACTTATAAATGCTTTGATCTATAACGCATCTTCCAATCCCCACACATCCTATCTTTTCTTGCAGTCTCTATCCCAGCAGTTCGCTTTATACTATTACTACCACTCACCCACTACTACCTGCTGCATGCATTACACTATTAACGAGTGTGGTTTATCTTGGATGTTATGCTGTATCCATAATGCCTTTTCTAAAACGATTATTATCCTTGTAATTTTGTGCTTATCTTATGGCACATGTATATATGCGGACGAGCTACAAGAGGAACCAAGTCCCAGGTGGGCAACTGGCAAGTATGATGATCGTTGTTGTGCTGCTGCTGTTGTTGTTGTTCAATGCACGTACCATTAGCAGATGATAACCTGATTCATAGTAGATTGTGCTCTTGTAAATAAGGAACTCTATTGCTATGGTGGCATGGTCGAAAACGGCGAGCCAAGCAATTCAATGTACAAACTGGACCTCGCCCAACCTTGGAATACGAGCAATCCAATATGGGCCAATATTAAAAGTCAAAATGATCATCGACCCCTTGCTCACTTTACTACTGCCGTTGTACAACACAATACTGGATTTATCATCCACGGTGGAGCATTAAACAATCGTGCTGATCCAACCAGCCTTTACAGTATTGAGAACAATACATGGATCGCTCCTCGGCTTGACGGCCCTTCACCCATACCGAGGTTGGTTGTTTTCTGCTCTGTGCATAGAAAAGGATGAGAAGCATAGATTGATTGTATGCATATAGAATACGACACACGGCAACATCGGATAACCAAGGCCGCATTTGGATATGGGGAGGTGAAAGGTATTATATAAACTTTTATGCACGCTTGTTTTGAATATGGTTGCTTGACATTTCATGCATTATGCAGCATTAGTGTCAATGGCTCACTCTTGTATGACGGCCAATGGACAGTGATTGATACAAGTGTAAGTTGATAATCATCATCATCATCATCCATGGTGGTTCGTCATTGATGCTTTTAAGGTACATAGATATGGAGTTACAATTATCCAAACATTGCCAACCCACCATTTCCTCGTGTTGATCATACCGCAACCTTTACTCCTGATGGTGATATCCTTATCATTGGTGGACTTTCTTATACAAGGAATGTCACTGATCCACGTGGAAACCACAGCTTGAATCCTGTTTCCATGAGCTCCCTGCTTAAATTTAATGCAGCTACAAGCGAATGGCAAAATGTCACTGCTACTGGCAATATCCCTGCGCCAAGAAATGGTCATTCAGCCGTTCTTTGTATGTCAATGATGATGATGATGTATGAGATTTATTGGTATTGATCTCTTTTACATAGGTGGGAATCATATCGTTGTCTTTGGAGGGGGAACACAAGGTGGGTTAAGTTGAATACATCTACATGTACATGTGTTTTTAATGAAGGGAGTTAGATGATGATGGACAATCCAAACTTTTGAATGACATTTTTATTCTTGAATTATCAACCATGAGGTGGTCAGCACCTTCATCTACTGGGATATCACCTACGCCACGAAAATACCATCATGGTATGTAACACCATGGTACATGACAAAGGAACGTCCTCTTCAATGCTGATGTATTCGTAAACATAGCTCGGATGGTGGATGAAAATATGATGCTTGTTGCTCTTGGATACGGACCTGAACATCAAGGAAGCAACGACATTGATTTGCTCGACATGACAACATGGACATGGGTATCCGAATACGCTCCCAATCTCCCTTGGCTTGAACAACAGCAGTCTGACAACAACACCTCCACAAACCAAAACGCACAATATCTCCCGCCATCCACCACTGCAGCCTCTCCCGTATCCACAAAATTAATAAGCAATAGTGAGACTGATAATCCACATCCTCCAATTGCACCAACAGCTGGCACTGATCAACGAGGTTTGTGTATGCACAATGTATGTCATGTTGGATTTGTATTGATCGTTTAATGTGATGGATGCATAGATGACCAAGAAGAAAAGAAATCGCATATGCAAGCTGGGGTTATTGCTGGTGCTATTAGTGCAGGCGTGGTAGCAGTATGTCGAATGAAAAGGCTCGTTGTGTGTTCATGTACAAAGATAGAGCTGATGTTGTATGTATATATATGTAGGTTGGTGGGGGAATCTTCCTTGCTCTCACATTTGTCGTTATGCGGCGTCGACGTCAATCTCGAGATATTTCTTCTTCAAGCCGTTTCCAAAAGCCAAATCAAAAGGATCATAACCATTCGGGCTGATATTTGGGATCAAATTGTACTTTTTCATGATCAAACGTTTCAATAAACTATAAAACAAACGTTAGCACAGAGTTGCAATGCACACAATCTCCACTCACCTCTTGATCAGCAAGCACTTTGGTATCTGCAAATTTGCGGTATTCATCAAATATAGAAGTCATTGACCATCTTTGGATCTTGCGTAAACAACCAATAAGACATCCGATACGGTGCTATTCATATCCAACAATGAATCATTTGCATACATCGTCATTGAATGAATGAATCATTGATACTCACCTTCCCTTTCAGACAATGGATCAGCACTGCAAGATGTGTGTGTGAGGATTAGGTGCACACAATCAATACATTGGTTCTCTTCGCTCTTACCTGGATGGCTACGATCATCCAATAACCTTGTGAGTGCATGATTGATATCATCCGAGTTGATCTCCACAAATGGTTCCTTGTTGCCCTCCATCCTGTAATGCAAAACTTCGATCCCTTCGTGTTCAACGAAATGCTTCATCTCGGGTGGATAATCCTCCATAGCCAAGTACCTTTTCAAGTGGACCAATGTCAATAGGTGATTATCATGCACGTCTATGCGTATCCTCTTACATGATGGTTTTCAACCCAAGCTTTCGTAAAAAGGAAAAGTTTTGTCGATTGGGATGACCGGAACGATAAACACCAGGAGCCACCATGGCAAAGTTCAAAGGTGGAACGAGAGGAAAACCAGGTCGTTCACTGCAAATGGGACATGCGTCGATACTGTTTCCACCTTGGATGTGTCGTGTTCGTTGTGGTGGAGCATTGAGACGATCGGCTACATGGTCTTCGGAATCAATCTCGCCATTGGCTGTTTGCACTGCAATAGTTGGCATGTTGAGAAGGGTGAAAGTGTGTTGAAGGAAGAAGATTACCCAGCTTAGAAATGATCAGCGCGCGCGTTTTGACGCATTGCCCCCACTCTCCCCCTCTCGGCTGTCAGCGTATCTCCCATCCATGTAGACAATGATAGCTTTTGTATTCTTCAATAAACTTTATCATCTTCCAAGAATCTTCCACTCTATATAGCTTTGAACATTTGGGAACGTTTTCAAGGTAGACAACATGACTGAGAACCATCACTCGACTATCAATGTTGCCATCCACATGCTCATAAATGTCATATATGATCCATTGTCGTTCAAGAGATAAGATGGGGGTAGCAATGTATTGATCTTGTGAAAAGACGACACAAATAGAAAACTATACACAGAAGGGGAAAAAGAGCGAGGAAGTCTATCGTTTCTTTTATGGCCAATGCTTTACTTGGAACCAGGAGGAGTCATCTATAGAATCGTTATGAGTACTCTTATCCATCCCCATTGGATATGCAACTTTTACCTGCTGGCTAAGCTCGGCAAAGCGTGCGCCAACGCGTTCAGAGTGCTTCAAGAACTTGTCAGCACACTTGTTGATACAAGTTTCCTATACATTGCATCCACTTGTCAATCCACATGCTATCTTTTTGTTGTCACACGAATACACACCTCCTTGCCGGTGACGCTCTTGGTGGTGAAATCCTCAGCACAGTCTTCAAAGCAACGTTGAACAAGGTTGGTGTAGAGTCTGACGAAATCCTTCATCTACAAGGTCGAATGGTGGTTGCAATGTCAGATCGCGCAAAGTCTAGTGTCAATGTGGGTCCCCACCTGCTTGTGCTCAATCATGGCGGCGATCTGAGCCTGTTCGGCTTGGTTGTAGCGAGTGAAGTCCATGCTGAAGAAGAGTAATAGGTGGTGGTGGTGTGGTTGGGTGTTAAGAGGGAGCTGCCACAAGTGTCAATGACCAGCATTTCAAAAACAAGTTCATCCCAGTCACACGACGACATCCATCGTGCTTGAATTTAGTTGTCAGTCTACATAGGAGAAACCATGCAATTAGCAAAGCCCAAGTGTTATAGACTATGCTGTTCATTCTTAATAAAAGGACCTATCATACATCTTGTGATATGATCATACACTAAAAGGATGCTTCATATGCATAGCTTCATGGTTCACTTTACATGTCACGTGCCCTATCGGCATTTGCTTGCTTGAATGAGAGGTACTCCTCGTACGCATACATGGATAATTATAGTAACATCTCAAGTCGGTACGAACGCGATGCAATAGTCCATAGTGGATAGTATTACTAGCATGCCAGCGGGACTACCACCACAACAACATGATGACAAATCAATTCAGCACCATACTCAAGGAGCACAGTCGTCGTGATACTATTTTCAGTACAGAGCACCTTGTTCCTTTGTCCTTAAAATATTACAGCACAAGCATTGTGATTCCGCGGGTTGCTTTTAGGAGTACATATCTATCAAGGTTCTTATCGATTACTCGATCCTATTAGAGGCACGATAAAGTTAGAGGTGCACACCAGCAAATCCCAACAATGTGGACTGATTCGTTGATCCACCTTTCGATAAGAAGTGTTATGTAGGGGAGAACATCAAATTCACATGCACATGTAGGATGCTTATTATCACCGAGGATCAGCTTATCTCTCCTCGACAATCCTTTCATGTAGCGTTTATTCCCTCGTATGTATAGGCATACGTATAATAATAGTAGCTAAAAGTATTGAGTGTTGTTGTTGTCATGTATTGAACATTGATTGAAAGCGGATACCATAAACCAAAGTGCAGTGTACGATCATAAAGACATGTTGCATTCATTGTGGTATGAAGTGTTTACATCATAGGGTAGATGATCAATGATGGCTTTATTTGCTAAAGAGGTTGTAGAGAATGATGCCTCGCTTTACCAAGATCAAGCATGTTACACACTACGATTGAACGACGTGCCACTTTGGCAGGTCCGCGGACCCACCCCGCTTTTTAATTGTGGCGGGTGCATCTTCCGCGGAATCACTTTTTGACGTTAATGCATGATATAAAAGTCGTTGTTGTTGGGTCACTCTCTTCACGCCATTCAACTCTTTCAATCGTTTAGCCATGTGTGGAATCTTTGGGTAAGCACAATGCGCACTCGTTGCCATGTCCAATTGGGATCTAACAAGTCTCTGGGATCAGTTATTGCAACTACCTTTCGGAACATGACCGACGCTTTATTGTCGACACGCTGATCAATGGCTTGTCTCGACTCGAATATCGAGGCTATGACTCTGCTGGTATGCTGGTTGCTATGAGAAGGTTTCAATGTAGCTAAGTGTATGTATCGTGCTACCCTATAGGTATCGCAATTGATGGTGATGCAGAGCATGAAACCTACATCGTGAAACAAGCCGGCAAGGTTTCCGCTCTTAAGAAGCTGGTGGAAGAGCAACATATCGATTATCAAAAGACTTTTATTAGTCATTGTGGAATGGTAAGTGATGATGATGAACAATGATCATGATGGGTCTTTATATTAGCATGGATGATATTACTTAGGCGCATACCCGATGGGCTACGCATGGTGAGCCATCGCAGCTTAATTCACATCCACATCGATCCGATCCTGGTTGCGCTTTTTCAATTGTGCACAATGGCATCATCACCAACTACAAGGAGATTCGAAAGCTGCTGGAGAACAAGGGTGCTACGTTCGAGACTGGAACCGGTAAGACAACAAAATCGTTACGAGCAAGATAATGAAAAAGAATGCTGATACCTCTTTAAAGACACTGAAATTGTGGCCAAGTTGACAAAGTACATCTTCGACTCGCAAAAGGAGGCTGGCGTTGACTTGACATTTTCCTCTCTCGTCAAACAAGTCATTTCCAGGTTGGAAGGAAGCTATGCTTTTATCTTCAAAAGCCCTCATTATCCCAACGAGCTGGTTGCTACGCGACGTGGATCACCTCTTTTGGTCGGCATCAAGACCGAAAAGAATCTCAAGATGGATTTTGTCGACGTTCAATTTGGCAACGCTGCTGCTGTTGCTGTGGATCCTAGCAACGCAGCATCATCAAGTAAGAAATTGATCATGGAATACAACATAGCTGACCGATATTTAACAATTACCCTTGATGGTACCTATGACAGGCTCATTTCTTGTACCCGAAGTGGATGGCGGCAGCAATACAACATTGCAACGTACGCAATCACGATCGTTTCTCACCGAAGACGGCACTCCTCAACCCATTGAGTTCTTTTTATCATCCGATGCATCCGCTATTGTTGAGCATACCAAGCGTGTGATTTATTTGGAAGATGACGATATTGCTCATGTGGCTGCTGGCGAACTCAATATCCACCGATTACGTCGCAACGAGAATGACACTGTAACACGCTCGATCCATACTTTGGAAGTTGAACTTGCTGAGATCATGAAAGGATCCTTTGACCACTTTATGCAAAAGGAGATTTATGAGCAACCCGAATCAGTGGTCAACACCATGCGTGGCCGTGTAAACTTTGAACAACACAAGGTGACGTTGGGTGGTTTACGAAATCACTTGTCTACTATTCGTCGTGCACGTCGTATTGTGTTTGTTGCATGTGGTACATCCTATCACAGCTGTATGGCGGTAAGTGGTGTTGTTATTCAATCTTATCAAACTTAACAGCGATGCTAATGCTTTTATAATGGTGATGTTGTAATAGACAAGAGCCATTTTCGAAGAATTGACAGAGATACCAGCACAAATTGATCTTGCATCCGATTTCTTGGATAGACGGCCACCCATTTTCCGTGACGATGTGTGCGTCTTTGTATCTCAATCGGGAGAAACAGCTGATACCATCTTGGCCATGCGTTATTGTTTCGAACGTGGTGCATTGTGTGTAGGCATCACCAACACTGTTGGCAGCACCATTTCCCGTGAAACCCATTGTGGTGTGCACATCAATGCAGGTCCTGAAATTGGCGTTGCTAGCACCAAGGCATACACATCCCAATACATTGCTCTTGTCATGATGGCCATTCAGCTGTCGGAAGATCGTTCCTCCATGACGGAGCGGCGTAACAGCATCATTGATGGGCTATCTCAACTTCCACGTCAAATCGAAGCTGTACTCAAACTTCAAGATCAACGTCTTCAAGACCTAGCTCAAAATACGTTAGCCAAGGAGCGTAGTTTATTGATCATGGGTCGTGGGTACCAAAATGCAACATGTCTTGAAGGAGCGCTCAAGATCAAGGAAATCTCTTACATGCATAGTGAAGGCATTTTGGCTGGTGAGCTCAAGCATGGTCCATTGGCACTCGTGGATGAAAATATGCCAGTCATTCTTGTTATGACCAAGGACTCGTTGTATCCCAAGGTCCAAAGTGCGTTGCAGCAAGTGGTTGCTCGAAAGGGTAATCCTATCATCATTTGCAACGATGGAGACGATGATCTACAGAGCAAGTACAAGACCATCAACGTCGCCCAAACCGTGGATTGCTTGCAAGGAATTTTGAACGTCATCCCATTGCAGCTGTTGTCTTATCATCTTGCCATCCTTCAAGGTGTCGATGTTGATTTCCCCAGAAATCTTGCCAAATCGGTCACTGTAGAATGAATTGAGATCTAGGCTTTGTTTTATACCAATATAGCATTGTGAATGTGATAAAATTAAGAATGTGGGATGAGTCTTTTGATTTGCATGAATAAAGCGACTGATTTGGTAGGAGCTTCTTTTGTAAGGTGACACACGATATGCACAGCCGATTCAATCCAGTCAAAAGGAAGCCATCGGCGATAATTCCTCCCTTTGCTCACGCTTCAAGCTTGTGTTTTATCTTTTTCTCTCTCCCTCTTTTCTACTGCGAGACAGCAACAGCAGCAACAGTAACTGGTGTTGTTATTCAATCAAGCAGTCTAACTATTACTACCTACTACCACACTACTATACATATACCCACACACACACACACTCACGCACTCTCACTCACACAACCTCTCTCTCCTCTCCTTTTCTCGCTACACTACTTTATTCACACAGCTCTCATTGCAATAGCGAGTTACGACAACCACCCATTACCACCACTACCACCACCAATTATGCATTAACCCCACTACAATGAGCATACCCGGCATTCCACCCGCATCCACAACAAGCAACAACGCTTCTTCTACAGCTGCACAGCAAACATCGATCACTCCATCACCACGTTCTTATCAATCGCCCCCACCACCAAACACTCCCACTGGTCCTTCGTCATCGTCCAACACACGAAATAAACTAGAGCAAATAATACAGGTAGGTGCATGCATGCATAGCGCGTGTTGACCACCAACTCACTCTATCAATATCCAGAACTTTTACACCAAGACGGCCCAGGTCATTATACAAGCCCGTGTTCAATCATCTTTGACAGCAAGTGGACGACGAAGAAGTAGCACGAGTAGCACAGCATCCGTTGATCGCAAGAGCAAGCTTAATCGATGGGTGAGTAGTAGTAGTACTCTTATCATGGGACCGATTCTAATGCATGTTGCATACATAGTTCAACTTGGCAACGTCCGAATCGTTACGAGATGAGCTCAAGTATTGGCAAACACAAGCAACACAAGCCATGGACGAGGAACCTCCACCATTGATCCTCGATATCTATCTCGATGTATCTCGACTCACATCCAGTCAAATCTTGGTTCTGGCATATGACCGGTCACGAAGATTAGACATATCAGATTCAACCAAACGTATCTTGTTGGAACGATGGACACTATCACTAAGGTAACAACAACAACAAAGTTGCAAACAACGACCAGCAGCAGGTGTTCATCCTTTTTTCTTTCCTTGTTGTAGACATCCATTACCCACGTTTTCAGTGGATCTACCCAATCTATACAAGCGATCCATTGTGTTTTTCAGAGCCCTTTACACTTATATCCGGCTGTTGCCATGCCATGACTTGTATCGACGACTACAGCAATATGGAGCATCAGATGCATTGGATATTGGCTATCGAATGTCAGCAGATCCCTTGGAAGCACATACCATGGATGAAGAAGTAGATCTAGGTAAGGCGATATCGGGTGGGAATTTATATGTGTGTATCATACTCGTACTTAACGATTACTATTATTATAGACATGTCTATATTGGAAGGTGCTGACGAGCTGCGAAGATACGAATTTTCTGATATTGTCACGCCTTTGGGGTAAGTGTGTGTTATTATTGGGTCATTTACCGCTCATCTGCCACTCACCTTTGTACTACATATGACAACAGCTCATTTAAGCTTCAAGTGGAATATCGCAGCGTCTGTGATTTTTGTGTGGAGGATTCAGAAAGAGATTTGAGCGCACGGATGATCGGCATAGATGAACATTTCTTTACACCTACAGTGGAACGACATCGACAAGAGCAAGTGCGGCATGAAGAGGTACAAAAAGGAAAGGTGGCATATGCCGTATTTGCTTACACTCATCATCTTTATTAGACTTCTCGACCATCCAGGCAAACGAGTGATTTTTTGGGTTCAAGAGATGTTTTACAACGACAACAGCGGCAGCGACAACCGAGCGTGGGATTACGTGATTTATCGGATGGGATGGTTATACGAGGTGAGCATCATCTACCACCAACAAGTGACATGATAAGGCGTGTATCAGCACCACATATATCTCCCTTCAAATCCCATTCACTTTCATCCTCTCCGCAGGCGGCTGAGTACTATGGTAAGTTGATAAGGCATTACAAAAGAGGTATGTTACTAACATCGTATTCAGGTGGGAGAGGAACACAAGGATTGTCAGGCGATAGGACACAGCAGCATCAAGGTGGATCAGCACCTGCTCGTACCAAGATTGAATTTTCTTCAAGCTTTGACAAGATTCGCGACCGAACAACTCCCACAAGTCCAATGACAAGAAGATGGTCTCGAACAAGTGATCATAGCCTTATCCCATTTGTGAGTACTGCACATTTAGACATCAACCATGCCACTTTATTCATTGCTCTTTCTATAACTTAGGACACTGAAGATGCCAGCCTAAGAGAATTTGTACAGCAATTGACAACCAACAAGTCCACCGAGCTCAAGATGTTTCAAAAATACGACACAGCGATGGCCGATAGCGCCAACTTGTCACCAACATCAGAAACAAGTAGTAGTATGGGTTCAATTTACAAGTCAAAAAAAGCACTATCCCATTTTCGAGCATTGAAAGAGACCAATACCACATTATCCGAATCCATGTCTTCGAGTATGATGGGTCGATCATCAGCTGCTGAACGTGGTGAAGGTGCAGGACATTCATTTGGATCATCTACTTCATCCACAGGACGCTCCTATCTTCCTGTTGTACCCTCACCGCTTCATACGGAGAACACAAATGTCACCACAACATCATCCAAGCCAATGCATATTCCATCAACTCATGGTGCACAATCTCGTTCAACAGGTGGAGAAAGAGAACACAATGCCAGCTCAGCCGTGTATGGTACACCATCATCCAATACCAGCAGACATCAATGGACTCCTGAAGATGATCAACGGTATCCTGCATTTTCAACGTATCCACAGGATCGACATCATGATGAAATGCGACGTCTGTGCACTGTGGAACAACACCACCCTCATGATGGCAATCATAGCAAGCAACATTGCAACAATCATCCACCACCACCCACTCCTTCATCACCCAAACGCCCTGAAAGTGTCACCAGCATAGCCACAGGTGGACATCGCACAAGTATTGTAGATGATGATGATTCGCTTGTATTTAAAATGAGTGAGTTGAGTGGGGATGGTCAGCAGCAGCAGCAGCAGCAAATGCAACAGCCACGACCCTTGCTTGAAGATGAAACGTTCGGACCTTTAACGGAAGCAGCGACACGCGATTATGCACGACGTCTTGGAATCAACACCGATCTTGTTGGCTCGCATCCTGTCAATAGTAGTAGCACGAGCATCCCACCCCAAAGTCCCATGGCAACAGTAGTTGAAGAAGAGGAAAAGAGTACAACAGCAACGAGTAGCAGCAGTGCAAGCAGCAGCAGTAACATTAAACATCACCAACAACAACAGCATCATCATCACCACCATCATCACATATTTTGATACGTCCACTTTCTCGCTCTCTCTCTCTCTCTCCTTTATTCCATCCAATAAACAGCTCTTTGTAAAACTATCCCTTTTTCTTCTTCTTCTTTTTCTTTTTCCTTATGGCTTCAGCAGATACACTTTCAAAAGCCCCTATCAAAGTAGGCGAGTTCACACGACGTAAAAACTGGAGCCAGAGTATCCTTGACGAATTGCGAGATTGGATGCATGTGCTTGAATCAGACTATAGCATAATCTACGGTTCTCCTGCCTCGAGCGAATGCTTTGGATACAGTGCTTCTGAAATGACGGGCCATCTCATGACCGAGTTCATTCATGTCGACGATCGAGACTCGTTTGCACGTGCGTTTCTCGCCGCGCGCGATACCATGGAACCCTTTCGAGCGCAATACCGGATGCATACCAAGGGTGATGAATATGTCATTGTTGAGACCACAGGCCATTTCCATAAACGAAGCTTCTTTGGCAGTGCACGCGTATTACCAGTGGATGCAACGAATGCTATGGAAACGTTTTTGGATTTGAGAATGGAACATGAAGCTCTTCAACAACGCTTACGACTACTCAAGCAACAGCAACAACAGCAGCAACAGCAAGAGCAGGAGGAAGATGATCAACAACAGCAGCAGGTTGGATCACCCAATGTATATGCACCAGGCGGCTTAGGAGGTGTCAGCGTATCAGATAGCGTATCCTTGTTTACGGGTTTACATTTTGAAGCGGGTGAACGTGCACGAGGTATCTCCATGGGTGATATGAGCCAAAGCGAACTTTTTCAAGTGGCCGGCAATCCTCCTCCTCCTCCTCCAACCATTGTTCAAAGACCCAACATCATTATTACGCAACAACGTAACAACAACAAAAAGGTAAATCGGGAAGGGGATATGGGATGATGATGATGATGACTCATTGCCACATGTGTATGGTGGGCATAAAAGAAACGTATCGACGCTGAACAGCAACAACAACAACAACGCATTTGCACGGAATGCCAGACAACGGATTCTCCCGAATGGCGTAAAGGACCCATGGGATCAAAAACGTGAGTCATCTTCATGCACATGCAATTCAAATGTCACAAATTAATCTGCGGCTTTCATATGTTGTAGGCTGTGCAATGCATGTGGGTTACGGTGGTCAAAGACACAAAAGAAACCATGATTCTCTCCCTCTCTCCCTCTTGCTTTAGCTGATGTCCATGTATGTAGTAGTCAACAATGAATAGCTTCTTTTTTCTCAAACATCAATAACACGCTTTATTCGGTGACATGTATTCAAATGCTCTCCACGATACTTGATCAGATATTGACCATGTTCCTTGAATGTCACAGTCTTGTTGACAGGACAACCCTATAAAATACGATTATCAATAAACATGTCGACAAAGCATAAAAAGTTTACGCATATGTACCTTTGGATGATTGGCACATTTATAATAGATGCTCTTTGTTCCTGATGCCTTGTGAACAGTGTTGCCATTGTTCTTCCACAAGTAGTCATCATGATACGGAAAGTCGCGGGTTTCGACCGTCTTTGTCACCGCCTGCATTTTTTGCCGTCGTCGTCGGCGTTTGGCTTGCACAAGAGATGCTGTGGAAGGTGTGTTGGTTGCTGCCGATGATTGGCCAGGCTTCGTTGAAAGGGGTGATGATGATGATGATGATGCATGGGATGATGATGATGTTGGTTTGTCTGCCACATAGTGGCTAGTGGATGGGGGTGATGGTGGATAGTATTGCGACGAATGGCTTTGTGTAGGAGAGGTAGGAGATACATTATTTTGTTGCTGTTGTGGATCGGGAGAAGGCGTTCGAATATTAACAGGAGGATGTAAAGGTGATGATGATGTGGGTTGTTGTTGTTGTCGCAATGCTGGTGGGTGTGTCATGGAAGGCGATGATGAAGAACAACAAGATGATGGATGCTGCTTTTGCAACATGTAATCAATTTGCTTGCTACGCAATTTGATTTCTTCTGTTCGTCGACGATCTTCCTCCACCTTGCTTAGAAGGATCAATTCAAGCAGATCAGGCTTCTCGGTATACTTTGTAAGAATGTCATTGAGTGAGATAGGCTGTGGTGGTGGTAATGTTGGAGCAATATCTGCAGGAGGTGTATTCATTGTTATTGTTGAAAGGAAGAAAAGAGGAACAGGTATGTCTTTTTTCTTGCATGACATGTGTGTTATAGGCCAAGTCGGATGATCACATGGCCTATGAGTGGGTGATTTCCCCGCATTTCTTTTCTTCCGATGTGGGGGTGCAAAAGTATAGCGTAGTATTCCATTCTCACGGGGTTTTCAAAACTGAATTACCGAGCGGGACTTGATCCATTCGACAGCTTCCTTTGAAAGATGCATTGGTCAAAGACGTCAAAAGCGTCACATTAGAATTCTACACATGCAATAAATGGTTTTCTACCTTATGAAACAATGATTGGTGCCATCCAGTAATCCGAAACACCAGTTATACCCCATTTCCAAAACCCCACATGAAAGACACGGTAATGCGGCAAGGAGTCCACCTGCTGTCAGGCTCAAGTATTCCGACTTGTTCCGTGCCCTGAAGCTCGTGTTTGATTTGCCCCCCGCTTACCCACTCTTTCTCTTTCTGTACACTTGTCGGGCTGGACAATCTTGGAAAAACACCCTCGGAAACCCACTCTATTCCGAATCATACGCATTGGGTTCATGTGTGTAATAAGATTTCATGGTTGATTTTCAACGTTGACTTTTTTTTGGCCCTTCTTCACATCTTCCCTTACACATGGCATTGACATGTATAACTCGGTTTGACATGCTTGCCATTCTTCGGAACAGCTCCTTTATCTATCATTGTACCACCAACCACAGCCATCTATTTACCTTGACCCCCTCATGGAAGTTAAAAATACTGTTCCTTTAGTGGCAATGAAAATGTTTTGGGGGATCTGTTGTCGTTTATATAATCATACAATGGAAAAGAAAATGATGCGTCTAGTACATGAATGGGAAACAGTGGGGGAAAAGTAATATATGCAAAAGGGAAATTGATGCAACATGATGCGCTTACTGGCGTCTCTCATTGGCCTTATACTTGTTGAATGCAATAAGATTCATCAATGCTTCATCGCTTCTTGACCGTAAATCAAATTCACGTCTCCGATCCACTGATTTGACCTATACCGTATACACCATAGCGTGTCAGTCATTATCACCCATACAATTAATCATCCACTCCCACAACCCCCCAAAAACTAATACGTACCATAGAACGGATGCTAGGAACCACCTTTTTCAGCAAGGGCAAGAATCCACCTCGAACAAACACAGGTTCATCATAGTCAAAAGCACAATCGCTGTAGACATCGTAGATGCAGTTGAGCGTTTCCACAGCAACAGCAGGTGCGGTTTGACGGCTACTAACATTATCAAGGACTCGCATGAAAAAGACACCAATTTCCTAAGTAAGGGCATAAAAGTAAGCACATGATCCCTTTGTGATGCCTATTTCAACCACCACCATCATTTACCTTGTTCACATCAATAGCACCTTGTCTCATGGCAATAGGACCAAGGCATCCGACAATTTTCACCCGCATTGATACTGAGTTGGTTGCATGGTAAGCACCAAATAGAGATGTAACATCCGAGGCTTCCAGTGGCTAATGAACAAAAGGAAATGATTAATCCCTGCATTTTCCGATTCGACCCATTCAACTTACAATATCCTGTTGTAAACCACGGCCTAATGACCACAAGCATCCAACAATGACTTCGACGACCTCATCTCTCATTTCGCTTGCAGGTGCGGATGCGACTGTATTGGCAAGGTTAAAGAGCCAACGCCAAGCATGGCATGCATCTGCCTTGTGTTCCTTGAACCAAAACTTGGATGGAATCTCGGCCATGGCAAGTAAAAAGTTGTTGAAACATTCGAGCGCGCGCTGATGGGTCAACACAAGAGCATCCGTCACAGTGGGTGCAATGATTTCTGCAGGGAAGGAAAGTGGTGTAGGGGTGGCAAGGCGAATAAGCTGTGGTGAAATGTCGACAATAAAAGTTCGGAGTACAGGGTTGGTGCGCACAAGTTGATCATCGACAGTGGCATTGGTGGATGATTGTTGATCAAGTTGAGAGGCTTCTTTCAAATATTCATCGACATTGTCCTCGTTCACTTCTTCCTCAGGCTCATCCTCGTCAACCATATCCTCATCAGCGTCTTCCCATCCATCCTCTATCAATTAAAATCATATGATGAATATCACCAAAAACATCATCATAAAGGAGTTGTAAGCATACCTTCAGAGTCATCCTGAACACAAATATCAGCAAGTAATTCGAGTGAGAGTTGAAGGGTGGATAAACGTTCCTCAACGCTTTGGATGTAATGCTAAAGTAATCATGTTAGCCCCCACACACACTATTGGAAAATGTCGTTCATCTATTACCTCTTCGTCGGACAAAGGTTGTTTAGGACGAGGAGTGATTTCACCCGTTTCTTCATGCTTGGCAACATTCTGTAATAGAAATCTTTGTCAACTCTCTCTCTCTCCATTGTCATCCGGTTGCTTTTGTAGACACTTACTCCACTTGTTACAGCCGCGGTGGTCTTTGTAGCAGCTTCTTGAATATCATAGTTCAACGATGCAACGAGTACTGGCAAGATCAACTTGTTCAACTCACTAGCACCATCCTGACCTTCATCCCAAAACTCTGCGACTTGAACGGCATCACGAATGTTGACAAGAATAGCTATATAGGACGAAATCAATCAATCGATGTACTCTTTTCTCTCCTTATTTCACTTCCCTTCCACTTACCACAAGCCAACACACGAACGAGGATCATGTTGGGATCCTGGAATTTGGAAATGATATCGTAAAGCATCTTGATATAGTTGGAGTTGTTTTGGAATTCAATGTAGATATCCTTGTTGTTGTCAGTCAAGGTGGTCAAGCATTGGCCTTTACAAATGGATTTGTGAGATCACATACATTCCATCAATCAATCATAGAACCACATACCAGCAGCAATAACGACACGTGTAGGGATGCGATCCGCTGAAGACAAGAAGGAAATCAAAAAGGCGATGATGTTGAGACGATTCACAGCCTTGATATGCTTATCGGATGACTCGCTTTAAAAACATTTGCATAAGCGTCATGAGCCTTTGGATGTTCACTTTTCCTTCCCAAACCATACCTGATACTCCAGATGATATAAATAAAGTTCTCTGCCGTATCCCAAATCGTGCGACGACGTCCTTTATCTTCTTCATCGACAATAGGGGCATCCGTAAGCACTTGATCAAGCGTTTGTGTGATCTACATCATGATATAGAATTGAGTTTTGTGAGAACATGAAAAGAAATGAATGAATGCCGATACATACCTTGGGCAACAATGCAGCAAGAGGGGTGAGGATGTCACGTGTATAGTATTCCCTAGCAACCGAAGGATCGACGGCCACGAGATTTCTAGGAACAAAGGTTATGAGATGATGATATCAAAAACAAAGACGCAGCAATTCAACCCTACCTCAAAGCACCCAAGGACTCTTCAAGTACCTCCTGGTGACCATCTGTCAACCTTTCCAGGAGTAGGGGAATAACACCTTTGGACAACAAGAGTTTACGGACTGAGGCACCTGCCATGATCAAGTTGGAAACGCATGCAGCTGCCCATGCACGTTCACCAGCATCGGGAGAGCTCAACTGTTGTGTATATATCAATCAGTCGGCAAGATCAAAGACAAGCGAGATCGTATAAGCTTCTTCACTCTACCTTTTGAACGACAGGAAGGATCTGCTCAGGCTGAGGAGACTGTTGAGCAATGCCTTGTTGAAGACCGGCATTGACACGCGCACCGATAGGATTTGAGCGATTCTTGTTGCGGCGTTGGGTCTTTTGCTTGCCCATGACGATCTCGACTCGGTGAAAAGGGATAAAGGTAAAATCCTCTTTTTGTGCGGCTGGTGCTTTGTTCTGACATTACAAGAATCTCCGCAAATTCAACTTTTCAACAACGCTCCCGTTGCCAGTTGTCATTGTTTCCTTCTCCTAGTAGGATAGTGCTCTCTTTTTATACAGTGTCTTTCTAGTGTGATCAATAATATGGTGCTGTTTTGTGGCATTGGGGACATTCCAATCATCATTGAAGAATTACCAGCATGATATCAGGACAGCATGTCTTTTTGTGGATCCATCCTTCTCCAATCCAACGAATCAATCTATCAAAGGATGTATATGCAGAAGGCACTCTATCTTGATGATACGTGCCCAATGGAATAATGGAAAAAGTGAAAGGTCATTGCACACGTATCTCATCACCTATAAATGCCATTATGAAAAGATTGCTATCTATAGTTGCGTGCTATTGGAATTGTCGCATAATTGCATATTACATACCCAGTCAAGCTGCTGGTATATGCATTGTCGAACATCATGTATATAGCGCAAGTCGTTTATCAAAGTCATGTGACTATCCTAGTAGCTATGATGTAGAGTGATTTTTATGCAAGTCTATCGCAAAGTGAATTACGTATATCCTTCAAGCATGCCATGTGTACATGGAATGTTGGGAAAGTGGAATTACAACAAAGGGTGTTATATAAAGGATGGGTACAACAATGTTGTTGCATCTTCATTATCATCATCATTCATCCCCCACTTGTCGATTGGTTTATCGATTTATCTCAATCACCAGCAGGAGTAGTATCAACGGGCATCCATAATACAATGTCGGCTATGTGTGTGGGCGTGGAGGTTAACATGACAAAGGGAAAAGAGGGCCCATGATACATGTGGTTTGGTGGGAGAGGGCTCAGCGTTGATATGATTGGCTAGCATGAATCATGCGCAGAGGTCACGCGGAAATGAGAGGGAGCGAGAGTGGGGTCTTTGGGTGCAACTCTCACGCTTGAACCGCAGCCAACCTTTATCTCTTTTTCTTTTACTTTCTATTACGCTACCGCTATCAACTACTTGACAACTTTGAACCAACATGCGATCGAAATTCAAAGACGAACATCCTTTCGGTGAGTAAGATTGGGACTTTTGTTTATTGTCATGGCCGCCATCTAATGCGGTTTCTCTCTTCATTATGCAGACAAGCGCAAGGCTGAAGCTGAACGTATCCGGCAAAAGTATCCTGACCGTATCCCAGTGATCTGTGAAAAGGTTGAAAAGAGTGATATACCTACCATCGACAAGAAAAAGTACCTGGTGCCTTCGGATTTGACGGTCGGCCAGTTTGTCTATGTCATTCGCAAGCGTATCAAGCTTAGTCCTGAGAAGGCTATCTTTATCTTTGTCAATGAGATATTACCGCCAACTGCAGGTAAATAGGATGATGGTTACTACCATGACTTGAATACTTATGACTTTTATAGGATTGATGAGTGCCATTTATGAGGAACACAAGGATGAGGATGGTTTCTTGTATATAACGTAAGTGTTCGGAGAGAGGAACGTGACAAATCATGATGTTGCATGAATTATGGGAGTCTTACACTATTTGGGATGCCATTGTAGATATTCTGGCGAGAACACTTTTGGCTCATGCTAAAGCAACTGAGAAGGGATACATATCATTTGCTAGTTTGCTCTTTCTTTGTGTGTATTTTGCTTGCCATCCTATATGCCATCCTTTGTTTACCCCCCTTCCTTTGTCCGTTACATTCAATAAATCCTCTTATCATGCGAATAAATCAATCGATGCGTTGGCTATCCATGTACATGTACGTATACTTTATCAGTTGATGGTGATTGATCAAGTAATGTGTGTAGGTGGGTGTGGGTGTGGGTGTAGGTGTATGCACATATGAAATAAAGATAGCTTAGATGTTAAGCTTGGTGTGGCGCCAGTTGCGGCGCTTGGCGTTCCAGCTATAGGATATTGAAAATGAGTGGTTAGCCATGGAGACACTTGCCATGCTGGTCATTGGGCCTTACCGAATCTTGGTGTCAGCCTTCATGCGGAACCAATGAGGAAGAGGACGGTTCTGCTTTTGCTTCTTGGCGAGCTTGACCTTGGTGCGGAAGGACTTGTTGGAAGGCTATACATAGAACATCCCATTCTTTAGTATATTCATTCATCCATCCATCCATCCCATTCAACCTATTTATCGATTCATCCACCCTTTCCCATCATTCATCCATATAATTTATCATCCTGGATATTACGTACCATATCGGATTAAGGGTTTCGAAAGGGTGGGGGAGGTCCTTGCGGGTGATGTGGATTCCAATGTCTAAATCCGAGGATTGGTGGTCCCTGCATTGTATGGCCGATCCGACACTAAACATCTCCCTTATCTCTTAAATTCAAGGTTTATCATCCTATTAATCCACTCATGCCTTTCTAGTAATCAACATTGAATATACACATCATGAAACGTATAATGAGAAGTACCCGTTTATTGCTTGTGTAAAGAAAGAAATCCTATTTCTGATTGTTATCATCATGCCAAATTTATACATACAATGACACGCTACATTCCATTATCCACTTGCCTAACCATTGTGATCTACTGTATTATGATGGATTGAATCACTCAACAAAAAAAGGGGAATCATCATTGGCATAGGTAGTTTCCAAGAAGGATGACATCTCGACCTATGGCCTTCTTGTGAACAAGCCAAGCCTGTAGTAGGCATCATTTATGGCACCCTTGTTAATAAATGAAAGGTTGATTGTGTGTAGGGGATATAAATATGGATCATCTCTTATAGGGACAATTCATTGTGTGTGATTGTGTTGTATATTGTGTGTGTGTGTGAGTGTGTGTGTGTGTGTGGCGACAATGATGATGATGATGGGTGATCGGTCTGATGTTGAATCCAAGGACGTTGTTCACCCTTCACACGCGCGCTTTCCGCAGACAATTTTGCTTCAGCTTTCCTTTTCTCTCTTTCTCTTTCTCTTGTATACTTTTGAAAGCCATGGATCCACTTGCCGATCTACGTCGCAGCACCTACAAATCGAGAGCCCACTTTAAGCCAGAAGAAGTACGACGTCGACGCGAGACTGCACAAGTGGAGATTCGCAAGCAAAAGAAGGAAGAGAATCTTGCCAAAAGACGCAACTTCAACCTCCAAAATCTCCCTGACGATTCAGATGATGATGCCGATTCGTTTGGTGTCGACACACAGGTAAGCATACTATGATACACTACAACAAAGCTCTACTTGTTTATTGACACGTACATGCTTTGTTGTCATAGCTTATGTCTGTATTGCCTGACATGGTGAGCGGCCTCTATTCTCAAGACACCGACACACAACTGGCAGCCACCTCCCACTTTAGAAAGCTTTTGTCCAAGGAGAGAAACCCACCCATTGAAGAAGTTATTGCTTGTGGGGTTGTTCCACGATTTGTTGAATTTTTACGTTCTACGAATTCTACTTTACAGGTAAGAAAAGGGGGTTTTGGTTGTATAAGAAGGAGGTCATATAGATGTATTAACATTTCTTTCCTAGTTTGAAGCTGCATGGGCATTGACCAACATTGCATCAGGATCATCTCAACAAACTCAAGTCGTTTTGGAAGCTGATGCCGTGCCTCGCTTTATTGAACTCTTAAGCAGCCCTGTGATGGATGTCAAGGAACAAGCTGTGTGGGCTTTGGGTAACATTGCTGGTGACAGTGCTCGATGCCGTGATTATGTCCTTCATTGTGGCGCTCTTCCTCCATTGTTGGCCATCTTTGAGGAGACTACCAAGATTTCCATGCTTCGTAATGCAACCTGGACCTTGTCAAACTTCTGTCGTGGCAAGAATCCCCAACCTGAATGGCCAATGGTAAGTAAAAAGTATGATTTGGGAAGGATGGATAGTCAACTAACAATGGCAATCATATTAGGTGGCACCCGCTCTTAATGTCTTATCCAAGTTGATCATGTCTACGGATGAGGAAGTGTTGATTGATACCTGCTGGGCTATTTCATACTTGTCGGATGGTCAAAACGATCGTATTCAAGCTGTGGTGGATTCTGGTGTATGCTCACGCCTTGTTGAACTTTTGGGTCATCCCAACACCACCGTTCAAACACCTGCTCTTCGTTCAGTGGGTAACATTGTCACAGGTGATGATCACCAGACTCAGACTATTATCAACTGTGGAGCCATCAATGCATTGCATCACTTGCTAGTCAGCCCCAAGGAAGCCATTCGTAAGGAGACATGTTGGACCTTGTCGAACATTACTGCTGGCAACACGATCCAAATTCAAGCTGTGATTGATGCTGGTTTGATGCGACCTCTTATCCAAATTCTTGCTCATGGTGATTTCAAGACCAAGAAGGAAGCATGCTGGGCTATTTGCAATGCTACCTCAGGTGGACTTAACAAGCCTGATCAAATCAAGTATTTGGTGTCCGAAGGATGTATCAAGCCTTTGTGTGATATCTTGATGAGCATGGACAACAAGATCATTATGGTGACATTGGATGGCCTGGATAATATCTTGAGCGTTGGTGAAATGGAGCGACCCAACACAGCAGATGGTCTTAACCCATATGCATTGCACATTGAGGAATGTAATGGATTGGATTATATACACGATTTGCAACAGCATGACAACACAGAGATTTACAAAAAGGCATACCAAATAATCGACAAGTACTTTTCCGAGGATGATGATGGAGAGACGCAGGAGATGAACCCAGATATGGAGGGTGGCCAATTCACGTTCCAACAACAAGTGCAGGCACCTCAAGGTGGATTTAATTTCGGAGGAGGTCAATAATATTATATACACCCACTTTCACTTTTTACTTGTTCACACACCACACCACCACCATACGCACAACAAATAGCACCCCATTTCCCCCTCTCCCTCTTTCCAACCCCAACACACACACACTCACACTCACACTCACACTCACTCACTCACTCACACTCTCTCACATATTCGTCGTATATAAATATCAGAAATGTTCAAGACAAATTTAATGTATGGAATGATGTTTCTTCCTCGTTGTGTTAGTGTTTGATTTGCTTGTGCTACCAAGACCCAAAATTTTCTTTCGCCTTCTGGTCATTTGCAAATGCGCCCTCTCTCTTTTCCTCTTATATCTCCTTCCACACACACCTTTTATAGCCAAGCATGTCTTTACTGCTTACAAGGACTTGCGAGTATGCTATTCTAGTAGCATTACAAAAAGGTACATTCCATCACAATATCATGCTTAGCATTGGCATAAGCCCAGCTCGTATCGGAAAGTGGGGAATAATGATATGAAAAGATGACTCACTGGTTCCTGTTTCCCTTTATTCGATCTTCATATATATATACATCCACTCTACTATCGCTTAAGGTCGTTATTTCTCTCACAGCACTGAACACGATATCTGTATACAAAGCAAGTTGGAGCTACGACTACCAGCTGCTGTTGACGACCTTATTCCACCGACGACGATAATCAGCACTCCACCAGCTACCATCTCGCGTGAAGGCACCGTGACATTGAACACCACTCTTGCTTATCTCATTTCAACCAAATTGCTGCAACGTCTACGAACGCACGATGCCGAAATTACGCTCACAGTGGATGCCGTGGGCGTGGATGCAGGGCAACAACGCATTGGCACGGCCCGTCTCCGTGTTTCCGAAGCCAAAATGGTGGTCCATCATGGCGGGCACATGGACAAGGTGAATCGGTTTGTTGCCGATAGGGGCGACTGGCAAACGTTATCGGATGGACGACGCAACAAGGAGCAGCTCAAAGCTGGATTGTTTATTGTGGCTATGCCAACAGAAAAATCGCAACAAGCTTCTCCTGCCATGGCACCATCACCTTCGTCAGCCTTGTTAGAGCTCAAGTCCCTTGGTGATCTAAGCAATGCCAGCACACCTCTCTTATTTTCCGATAGTGTCACTACTACAACGGCTACCACGCTCTTGTCGTCACCATCCTCCCATTCATTCCTCAATAACAACAACAACAACAACAAGCTGGGCCGTCATCATGTGGATCTCAACATTGATCAACTGGCAAACGAGTTTCGTAGTATCAAGCTTAAACATCAACCTCAACCCTCCGTATCATCCAGACGTCAACAACAACAGCTACAACAACAACCTGTAGCCAAGGAAGCATCCTCAAAGCACCCACACTATCATCAGATAGGGAAAGGAACCAAACCATACACGCTTTATTTCCGCATTGTGGATACCGATTATGTGAATTTGAGAGATCTTTCGGAAATGAGCATGCATCGATATCGTGGCAACATGAACAGTGGTAGTCGCAGTAGACCTGGCACAGCAACCAGTATTGGACGTCATCAACAACAACGAGGTGTAGCCCACAAACCCTTTTTCACATACAGCATTCTATCCAATGTTGTTCATTGCCCTGCAGCCTCCATTTCGCATTCTTTGACGACAAAAGCAAAGAGTAGTAGCACCACATGGCCCACCTGTTTCCATTTACGTGGACATCTGGTCGATATCCAAAACTGGTTGGATGACTTGCGGTTTCTGGAAGTGTCCCTGGTGATGAAAGATACGACCACGACATCAGAAGATGATGATGATGATGACGATGACATGAGAGGAGATGACAACAACAACAACAACAAACGTTTGTTTAGTGACAGGATGACAGTGATGGGCATGGCACACATTCCATTAAGCAATCTCGCCTTTTATCGCAATTCACGTGGACACTCACATCACCATCATCATCACCACCATCAACAACATTATTATCATGGCCGCAGCCACAACAAAGATGCAACATTTGTTGAACGCACATTCCCTGTACATGACCTCAATCACCATCGTTGGTGGGAGCAACAAGAAGGAGCACCCTCGAAGCAAAACAAGACGATTGCCAAAATGACAGTACGATTGGGCCTTGTGAGTGGATGGTGGGCAGGCGAAGATGAAAAGGAAGAAGAGGATCAAGATAGCAACAACAACAACAACAATGACGATATCACCCATGATAAACACCATCATCGACGTAGAAGCAGCAACAACAACAACAACAACAACAAAACATTCGTCAAACGACCTAGTACGGCACACGACTTATTGGATTGGTTCAAAAAGAAAAAGGCTAAAATCCCATCATCATCTACATCCTAAAACAACAACAACAACCCCCCAACCACCACCACCATCACACCTTTCGTTTCATGTTGCACAAACACACAGACACAATATCCCGCGATACATTAGTTGCACCTGTAGTATACACCACGTACATATATTACCCACTCACTCACTCACTCATTCACTCTCCTACTACCTCGTTTTTTGATTCCTTATCCTTCCGACTTCTTGTACATTCGTTTCATCTAAAGGATTATATTCATTGCAAAATGGTTTATTCAAAGTGATATATCGGTACAGATAAAATGGGGTTATAATGGAGTACTAGCTTGATGCTGCTGCTGATGATGATGATGATGAGGATGTTGAAAACAAGAAGCCTCGGCACGACGTACTAGATCACGTAATTGAGGAGCAATTTGTTGTAAGGTATGCTGGGATGATGGTTGTCTACGTAAGCGAACAAGTCTATCTAGTGCGTCGTCAAAATCGGACAATGATGAGGAGGAGGTAAGAGGCGGTAGAGAAATGGGCGGAAGAAGAGTGGTGTTGTTGCCATTGTTACTGTTGCTATGACTCGTGGTCGTCTCCACATCCACCTCGGCAGCAAGTAGCAACGATTCGATTCCATTGGAGGGTTGTGGTAATCTTGGTCGAGGAGCAACTAAGGGTGGTGGTGGTGATACGGATGGTGACGATGTTGTTGTTGTGGTAGTTGTCATGAATGGTGTTGTTGTTGATGTTGATGTGCCAGGTGATTGTCTTTTGGGAACAATGTAATCTTCGATGGGAGGTACTTCATCATGTTTGAACGGTGGCGATGTTGCTGATGATGATGGATTGTTGTTGTTCTTGGTAGGTGATTTGTTCTTTGGCTGTTTTCGTACGACGACTTGGCGGTGATGATGTTGCTTATCTTCTGTTGATACTTCATCCAATTTTTCCTCTGGTGGTGAAGCCGATGCTGATGAAGATGTCTCGGCAACAACGACCCGTTTCCTCCGTTTAATCACACTACGCTTCATGCTAACCGGTCGATGCATTCCATGTAACTTGTAATAGAGTCCACACGCATTGCATATGGTGTTCCCCGATTCATCTCGTCGCCATAGAGGCGTGGTCGTTGTTCGACAATTGGCACATATCAATGCTTGACGATTCACTTGGTGTTGGTTGAATGCCGGACATCCAGCACAGGATTCACTGCCTCCACTGCCATTACATTGCCCTCCACCAGGACATGTTCCACTCTCGGGTCCACTCCCACAATCATGTAACGTATTCATGGTTGCTAGGCTGCTGCTGCTGCTGCCTTTGTCCATCTCTTTGGGCCGTTGATGTGTGTTGCGTTTGAGTGTGGGTGGTCGAAACTGGTTGCGAGCTTTAAAGTATAAACCACAAGCATTACAAATCGTATCGCCATTAGGCGCTCGTCGCCATAAAGGTGTGGTCGTCGTTCCACAATTGGCACATTGAGTTGCTGACACTTCATGCATTTCTTTACGTTGTTTGGCATGCGACTTGTCTTCGGAAATCGAGGATTTGCGTTTAGGCTGCTGTTGTTGTTGCTGTTGTTGCTTTGATGCTGGCGATGAGAGTGGACTTGTTGTAGTTGTAGTAGTAGTAGGAGTAGCGTCCATTGGGTGAGAAGAAAAGGAAAGAGAATTTGATGCACTGAGAGTATCCATGGTTAATAAGCCATAAGGAAAGAATATGAAAAGAAAGAAGAGATGAATAAGAATGGAGATTAGGGATGAAATTGATCTGATTGTATATCCGTACTATAGCTGATAAAGCTGAGCCTGTTGTTCGCGGAAACTCGGAGAACCTACCGGTTTGTCCATGTCTCATTTAAAGATGAGATTACTACAGAGCCTCATTTACTATGATGCTTTCATCATAAATACGTACGTACAAATTGTTTGTGTATATATGTATGCGTCCATGTGAGTAGAATAACTTGTTATCAGATATACTGGAAAGATCATCTCCACCATCACCCCCCCCGTTTCCCCCTCTAATGCCACACCTATTTTGGCGACCTTGGCACGTTGAGCCTCCTTGGCATGATATCCCGGTTGAAACGGTAAGAATATCCCCCGATTGCCGTTCATCTGATAAAGACCATTACTACATACAACAAATAAAACATGATGATGATGTGATGATCATCATCATCCAAGCTGTAAACGTGGCTCACACTTTGCAAACATTGACACATCCAATGATGATGATGGAACGGTAACACCAATAAACTCCTACTTGGTTGAGCATTATCAAGCATGGATTGGAGAAAAGTATCATCTTTTCATACCACAAGCTTTGTGTATGGGTAAGACCCATCTCAGGCAATAGCGGCTTCGCTCTTTAAGAGGTCTTTATGCCCAAATCCATCGATTACGCATCAAAGCCTACGCTTTGAGATTCCCAGTTTCCAGGTTAGTGCCATCCACGCATGACTAATCGAAGACAAACGCTTCACATCCCCTCAACCTCCACACATGAAAACGATTACCTTGCCATTGTTTCTAGTTAAAGGTAGTCAAAGACCAGCTCCTTATGTGTGTAATGGTTGTATTCATGCGTGCTTCCCCATCATTGAGCCCGTCATTTTTGCTTAAGAATCATGCTTTGATGGTATAGGAAAGGAACCCATTTACGCTTTTTTATGCCTTTTGAGAGAGATGATGTTATACACCCAACACAGGTAATTCACACGATTGATGCTTTCAGTGATTTGTGGTACATGGGACTGACAGTCAACCTTACATAGACAGATGGTATAGCAAATCCCTCCTTTCAACCAAGCTATTGATTAAGAGCTCAACATCATGTATTGTAAACAGCATCCTTGTTGATGATGCATAATAATGGATCTCATTGGACAAGCATTAATAATACAGGCGGAGTGCAACGGGATTGCCTAGCAACATCAGCAACAGCTTTTGCAAAGAAGTTTCAAAATGTGTGGGGTGTGTGTGAAACCATAAAAGATGGTATTATTTTCCATTTGGTACCACGGCCGCTCTTTTCTTCCGGGTGTTGTATAATTTCTTCTCGATGGGATTATTCAGTAGTCTATTTCGTGCATTGGTCTTTCTATGTCTCGGTTTATTGGCGTATGATTATTACTATCAAGGTGGCGAGCATGCAACCAGTCTAGTCGACACTATCCGCGATCGCGACAGCTTGGAGCAAGTTTGGCGTGACATGCCCCTCCATAGAGACCGGTTGGTGCACCATGCCAATGCCGCTTGGATCGAGATCAAGACCGCCAGGTCTCCTCAAGAGCTGATTCAAAAGTTCATGTACAAGAACCGAGGCATTCCCAAGGATGGCGATGTGTATATCTTATCGCACTACACGTTTGACAAGGTGGTGGATGGCTCACAGCCTGTGCTCGTCAAGTTTTATGCACCTTGGTGTACCCATTGCAAAAATCTCGCACCCGATTATCAACGCGTGGCAGAGGCATACAAGGGCTCAGGCGTCATGATCGCTGAAGTCAACTCTCAAAAGGAAGGCTCATTGACAAGGAATTATGGTGTCAAAATGTATCCTACTCTCTTGTGGTTTCCCAAAGGCGTGAGCAGCACTGATAACGGTCTCGCTGAAGTCTATGCAGGAGCACGTGATTTTGATGCCATTACCCGCTTCATTCAACAAAAATCAGGTTGGTAAAAGGACATGATCAAGGAAAAAGGGAAAAGAGGTGGTATTTATTGCTATCATGCAGGCATTCGTCCAAAGGCCACCAGTGGCAGCCATCGCATTGTCGAATTGAACGCACAAAACTTTGAGCGAAATGTTCATCAGCCATCATCTCATGTCCTGGTTGAATTTTACAGGCCCGGTTGTCAAAGTTGCGAGGATCTTGGTAATTTGTTATTGTCGGAGGGGGGGTAACTACTACTTTTGGTTTAACATCATTTATGCAGCTCCCGTTTACGAAAAGGTCGCTGAAGCATTTGCCAATGAACCATCCGTAAGTGTTTGTTAGTGGTCGTCTCATGATACATGGCTTACTAAAACACATTCTAGTGCAAGATTGCCAAGATCAATGCGCAAAAAGAACGAGGCATTGCTGAAAAGTATAGTGTGACCGAGTTTCCATCGCTTGAATTCTTTGCAGCTGGCAAGCAAGATCCTTCAAAGTATGATGGTCCTTATACGGAGGCTGCTTTAATCAAGTACTTGAACAAGCAATGCGGCACGAATCGTATGCCAACGGGTGGGTTGGGCAAAACGGCAAGTAGTGGGATAGCTAAATACTACGTAGTGATGGGGTCTAATACATTATGCATAGGCTGGACGTGTGTCTGAATTGGATCAGCTCGCTCGCAAATTCGTTGAAGCTGTGGATGATACTACACGTGATCAAATCCGAAAGCAAGCTGGCGCTATCGCTGATAGACTTGTCGACAATCGGTAAGTTGTTTAACCGGTTATGGATGCTATCATGGAGGGTAAAAGGCTCACCCATTTTTAGACATGCTCAATTTTATGCCAATGTCATGGACAAGATTCGGTCCAACGGTGATCAATTCATAAGCAGTGAGACCGAACGTTTGCAAAAGGCTGTCAAGAGCGGCGAGAATATCCTGTCATCCGAAGTAGTCGACGAGTTTGCTGTACGCCGTAATATCCTTTCAGTGTTCGATGAGAGCAACAAGCAAAAGAAAAGCAACAACCCATAATAGTCTTTTGCTAGTGTATGATTATTCAATTGTAACAAAAGATTCATAATTTTCAATGAGATTGGAACGTGTGGATACGGGAATCATGTATGTAGTACTTCGGAGGGTCGGCATGCAGGTGGGACAAGCTTTCAAAATGAGGTACAGCAGCCTTCTGCACCTTTTTTTTCAACTCCAGTACCTGGTGCTTTCTTTCTTCTTCCTTCTCCTGGATACCGCGTCCTTTTATTTCCTACGCCTATTTCATCACGTAAATCACATTCACCCTTGTATGATTATTAAGCGACCGAATGCGCTGATACATAGACATTAAAACAGCAGACTATATCATGCAAGTGGAATATGGAGAGGAGTTTGAGGATACGTCGAATATCAATAGGAGCATGGAACAACCACCATATCGACAAGCAAGTGATGATACCATCGTGCGTCAATCCTCATGGAAGATCATGTTTCAGGAAATACAGCAACATGTCATGCAAACGATAACCAACAATAAGCAGCTGCTCTTTGGCAAAGGATCAAATCTTCAGGGACCATCTTCACAACAACGAACAACATGCAGGGAAAAGAATGGCTCGTTGTATTCAACAACAACGACTAGCCACAATCAGCGCCAACTACAGACAAGCCAGCTTTATAGTCATCCAGATTTTCGGGTACTTTACGTTCCCGCTGGCAACGAAGACATCATGAGAATTGTGCAACCTTCAAAAGATCTTGAGCATCAGCAACGTCTTGAGGTCTGTGGATATTATGCATTATCGCATTTATGGGGTGATGTTCAAAATGCGCCCTTATGGGATGTCAGCGACTTGATTGTTGATGAACATGGTAACCCTGCTCAACCAGTACCCATGCGACCCGAAAAGCGTGATACGATATTGGCGTTGCTTAAGCCAGGGAGTTACTGGTGGATCGATGTGTTGTGTGCTCGAACGGACACACCACTTATGATTATGGGAGATGTATACGAATCGTGCTATGGGTGCTTTGCGCTAATTGACGTATCACCAGCGATCAGCGGCATTCAGCAAATCAATGCCAAATGGTTAACGTTGTCAATTGTGGTCACACATACGTTGCGAGCGTATAGACATGCAATCAAACATAACGACATTGATGAATTCGAGCATTATTGTGCCACTCCGACAGGAGCAGAGGACGTTGGAAAGCCTTTACGATTAAAAGAAGTGGGGATACAGTTTCATGATGAGCTGCATGCGGTTGCACAATTCTTTGATTGCTTCTGGTTCTCTCGTGTATGGACATGGCAAGAATTTCTGTTACCAGAAAGATTTACGGCCATTGATGAGCGATGTGACACCGTAAGATTTCATGGGTCGACGTTTGTGTACCTTGATCAAATCATCTGGAGCTTACAAAAGATACGTAAGTCTACATGTACAATATGCCTCCCCTAAAACGAGGGAAACCAACCCTATAAGTCTACTACTACTTTAGATAGCATGATTGAAAGTGAACCCATCTTGAAGGAAGAATATCAAGGAGGCATCACTCAAGCCATTTCAAAAAGTTATACCCGATTCCATCATATCATTGAGCAACAACGCACTATAAAGGTGGATTTGCAGCTATGGAAGAACAGCAAAGCCAGGTTAATCGGCTTGAAAAGTGTGCTTGATAATCTAGCTGGTTCTCCTCGAACATGTACAAATCCCGTGGATTATGTCTATGGAGTGCTTGGATTACTTGCTATCGATGTCCCTAGAATGGATGATCCTCAAGCTGTTTGGTCGACTTTTCTTTCTGTGCTCGGTGAGCGTTTGCAAAGTGTTGAGAAAAATGACCCAGATTTCTTCGCATCCATCTCTGAGACCGCTCATTCATTTGATTTGAGCAAAGCAAACAACTTGGGACATGTCTACGATGGTTTGGTCAAATTCACAAGGTAAATAGCACATTAAAAGTGGATGCAATTGACTAAGTTATGCATGTATTTTAAAAGGAAGTCGTCAAAACATACAAGGATGGGAACACAATAACTACTATTTATTCTGTAACACAGCGATCGAATTCCTCTTGAAGCCTGTCGCCATGTTGTTTCATATCTTTGCCAATAAACGTCAATCTACTATCCCTGGGTTCATCTTGTTTCCATTCACTATGCTCGGTCAAGGTCACATGCTCATCCACACCCTGAAGGATCAACTTTTTGTTGCTTTCTTTGACCGCCAGCACACCCTTGATGCGATAAAGCGTATCATGTAGTTCACATGCTTCTCTTCTTACAAAGTCGAGGACCTTTTCCTTGTCAACAGGGCCATTAACTAGCATCATGGTTTGCTCCACCGATGGATCATGCTGCTTCACATTCTTCGGAATAGGGTCGCTTTTGATATCCTTTCTGAGACCAAATAAGGATTCAATGGAGGGTACTTGAGCAAAGCGAGTGGTGATAATCTTGGCATGTGGATTCTTTTCATGAATGAATTGTTCCAAGGAGCGTACTTGATCCTGAGTGACCAAATCGAGTTTGTTGACAATGACGACATCGGTTGTCTCAATTTGGGCAAGAGGTTCATTCTTGAACTTGTCGTCGTTTTGAGCGCTGCTTTTGAGACGCGAGAAATAATGCTTTGCATCCACAATGGTGACGATGCCATCGACGTAGAAATGTTGCACGATATCGTCATTCCCTTTTCCATCTGCACCTTGTTGGATCATGTGAAGGATGGGAGCTGGGTCAGCGAGTCCTGAAAACGGAAAGATTATTAAAAACATGACGTGGTCATTGTGCCCCGTGAGCAACCACGCGAGCACACTCATGATGATGACGAGAATTACCAGTGGTCTCCAGGATGATGTGATCAATTGGCTCGTTCGTCGTTTCATTCTGCTGAATAATCTCCAAGAGTGTATTGATAAGCTCTCCACTGGATGAACAGCATACGCATCCCCTAATAGAGTGTGTGTATCCCATCAGCTTGGCGTTGCTTGCCCAACGACCTTCCCTCCCCCCAACCTCGTCGTCATACCAACCAAACTCATAAAGACTCTTTATCTCTTGTGTCTTGTCTTGGTGGATAATCTCATTCTCCTACAGCATGAACTAGATGAGATGACGCATGTACATAGAAGTCCCATTGCCATAATAAAGCGTACAATACCAAATGCAGCAGCGAATTCGTTTTCAATGACGGCGATGCGTTTTGGGATATTGGCAGACTTGATAGAGTCGAGTATTCTGTTGAGAAGCGTAGTTTTCCCAGCACCAAGGAAACCTGTGAGAACTGTAACAGGAATACGAGACATGATAAAAGGAAAAAGTCCGTGCGTGGCGTGTTTTTCGCTCACACGCTCATCCACCACTCAGTCAATGCATGAACCAACGCCAAAGAACACTCCGCTTCTTTTGCACGGGGTGGGGGATAAAGACAACTTGGGCCTTCTAGGTCATGCGGCTCTTAGACACCCACCATACACACACACACACACACACACACGAGTTAAAAACAAGAGAATCCTCATCGTGGCTGGCTGGTTGATAACTTGCTTTTCTTTCTCCCCTCCCCCCAACCCCCTTTTCTTTCCTCTTTCTCTTTCACATTAACGCGATTATCCTTTTTCTTCTCTTTTATTACTGCTATTCGTTCCCATTCACTCATTGCATTATCTTCTACGTATACGCGCCTTTGTATCGATCTTCTTTCCTTTTCAATGTCTCAACAACAACAACAGCAATCGAATTGCCCTCCAAACGTGGCCGAGGTATGTGTGTGATAGATTTTCATTGTTGTATGTAAGCGCATACATTCACACACACGTCGTGTAGATGATATATCGTCTAAAGACAAGACTTGCACTCGCCGACTTTAAACGCAAGCATGGATACGAGAAATATGACTTTCTCAGCCTCGAATGGGGCCTGTTACACCATAGCCACATGCAGCAACAGCATTATCATCATCCTCATCCACACATTCAACAAAAACTAAAGTCGGCTTTTACGTTGGTTACCGCCGCAGCAGCAGCATCATCATCACCGGCATCAGCCCGATACTACAAGAATGGTGCCAAGGCAAATGACCGCAGCAATAACACTACCCGACGATACTATTATTATGGACACAGCCATGGTATTCCTAAAATGAGTCATTCTAGTGCATCTATAAAGAAACGGGCGGCATTATCAAGGACAATGACGCGTAGCTCACCATTATTATATCCATTATCCGCCAAACGAAGCACTTCACCATCCCCGACACCCACAACAACAACATCCACAACCACCACCGCCGTCAGACGATGTGCATCATCATCACCATTAAGTAAGAGTTACACTGTTGACGATCCGGTCTTTTCCTCGGATGAAGAAGATGCAGCCAATTTGTTGGTCATGTTGCAACGACAACAACACGCATGATCAACACCATATACAACGATTGCTATCATGATCCCCTTTTACTATTTTTCTTTTTCTACTCCTAATCCATCTACACCACCTCTCGCTCTCTCCTCAATCACCCTTTCTCCTTTTATCCCCTACCCCTGATTCCTTTTTGACCTATTGCCGAGGGTATTTCTTCTCTTCACTGTTGTAAGTATATATTTGTTTTCTCTCTCTCTCATTCTTTTATCATTCATTTCATCGCACACACCCATCTCCTCCTCACGTTATTTGTGTTTTCTTGTTTTTTGCTTCCTGCACGCACATACATATACTTCAACAGCATTTTCAATATACACCATACATCATTTATGATACTACTACAATACAACATTGCTCTTTTAAAGAATCTGACTTTATCGGGTCTCGAGAATAATAATGCGTAATTTACTCAGCTGCATTGCACGTGGTCATGTAAATAGTTGGTTGCACCACACAACACACGCACGCGCATGGTCGATCCTTTAATCCGCACCACTGGCTGGGTTTGTTCCTCTTTTTGGTTTTCTACTCAGCTTGTTCATGCATGATGATGTATACAAAAGTATCCACATTCGGCTTTATTATGCAAAGGTATAATAACTAAGAGAACGGGCGTTTGAAAAAAGGCTATTTAAACATTGGAAAGGGAATAGCGTTCCAAAATGGAAACCAAAGAGTATTTACAAAAGCAATGAGGAATGATCAGGGAAAGGAAGGGGGCATTAATAAGCTGAACAACCACACCAATCTGACTGCAAGACTTGACGAGCGGTGTACCGTGTTTTGGGATCCTGATGCAACAAGTTACGCAACAAGGCCTGCAGCTCATTGGACAAGAAATCAGGCATGTGGAACGTACCATTAAGGATTTTTTGTTGTAAGCGTGCGTCATAATCATCTTCAAAAGGACATTTGCCGACGACCATGGCATACAGCAGGACGCCCAAAGACCACATATCGGTCTTTGGGCAAGGCAACATGTATCGAGAACGTACCTGCTCAGGGGCCACGTATGCCAATGATCCACCTGCCTCGTCCAATTCATTGGGTGATGATGATGAGGGTGATTGGATTCCCATAGGTGTGGGTGGTGGTGTCGTTACAGGTTGTATATAGACCGAGAGACCAAAGTCACAAAGACGTACACGATTATGCTCATCCAGCAAGACATTTTCAAGTTTGACATCCTTGTGACATACGCGTGCTTCTTCATGAAGGTATTGCAATGCACTGCACAATTGCTGAACAACCACACGTGCTTCATTTTCAGTGACGGATTGCTTGCGCTTCATCCAATCACGCAAAGAGCCAGCACTGCAATAGCTGCATACGACATACATGGCATGATCCGTTTCCAGTAACTTCTCAATGGTCACCAAATGTTCATGATCCAAGGACTTCCAGAGATCCAATTCACGCTCCAAACGTTGCAAATCAGCATCGCTCATGCAACTCTTTTTGATAACCTTGACAGCCACCTTGTGTCCATCCGAGATACAATAGCCACTACGCACCGTTGAAAATCCACCATAGCCAATGATCTTTTCGAGAACATAGTCATCAATCTCATCACCAGCATCCTCTTCTTCATGTAATGCCAAAGGAGCTATGCCTGATGTGGCAGCAGTAGGTGATGCAAAACTTGCAAGAAATGAGGCAGCAGGTGACTTGATATGGTCCCACGATTTGGCACTCACACAACTACTTGAGGACATGGATGATCCACGACGCCGAATGACTTGGCATTTGCTACGGGGTATCTCACGCGTACGTGGGAATGGTGAAAGTACGGGTGACGCGCATGATGAGGATGATGAAGGTGATGGGGATTGTGAGAGTGCTGGTTCGGTGGTAGATGTGCGACGACGTTCATGTTGGTTTGGAGAGGTTCGATTCTGCTGCTGTTGTTGCTGCTGCGGCATGGATGATGACAATGGATATCGGTTGCCATTACTACTACTGCTGCTGCTTGCCTTTCCCGTGGTTTGGCGATCATGGGGAAAGTTGAGTCGCTTAAAGATGTCAGCGTAATAGGCATCGTCTTTTTGATTAGGAGCAGACGAATGATTATCGTGATAGGAGATACCAAGAGGATCCGTGCTAATGTGTAAACCGGTTGTCCTCTTATCTTTGCTGCTGTTGTTGTTGTCGTTGTTGGGGCGGGACGTGGGTCGAATGAATTGTAGATAAGAATTGAATCGTTCGTCAGTGTGGAAATTTGGGTTCATTCAGTTATCAATCAAGTTCAATAGAGCAATAAGTAGATTGTATATGTGTGGGAGTAAGAAAGGAGAAAAAGGTGGAATTGGGTTACGGGTACTGTGTGATGCAAAAGATAAAGGATTTTGAGCCCACCAATCACACGTTTTGATTTTCTTATCAACGTCCGGGACTTATCTTTGATGCGTTATCTACCAATCATAAAAGGGTATATCCCCGATAAAACAATAGAGCTCTGCTCCACATTGAATACTACAATGTGAATGGTCGATCAAATCTCCCTTTACATGTATGGTGCATTTTACAGAATACCCCAGCAGCCCGCTTCCTTGTCTCGTATTCCCACACAATCAAAGGCTTACCCTTGAAATGCCGATGCTGTTGACATGTACTAGCTATTCAACATGGTCACCAAAATGGAAATGAAAAGTAAACAATCCACACCTCCTCCGATCGTTTCCGAGCAACTAATTATCATCCATCAAATACATATGCACTTGGCACTTTGTATCATCAGCAACGCTTTGTGCAGAAAATAAGCATTGACGCAACCCAAAAAAGAAACATGCAGCACCCATCTGTATTGAGCCAGAACACAACCAACCATCAACTTGGGGCTCTAAACTTCTCACACAAAGGTAAGCCCTCCATGTTCATCCTCCCCCTTACAAAAATGTGCCTTGTATGTGATACGCGCCCGCTGCATCATCTTTGTTGCACATACTCGGTTGCATTGAAGATCACACATTCTCCCACTCGACGCCATGCTATCTACCACTCGATGGATGTCATTACTTGCCATGTTACGATCAACGCATTTTACTATGTAGTCACGAGAGGATCATTGATGAAACGTATCTCTTTAATTTGCGGCCCGGAATTACTGATCAAAAGTGCCACACACAATTGCGGTTGGCATGTGAAATTGGTCACACAAACATGCTATATACGTAAATACACATGACGTCAAGGTAAAGTCAACAAAGATATAGGTGTTTCTACATGCTTCTCCTACCCAAGTGTATCATGTTTGATCTACTTGCAATATCGGACATTATCGTGCTGTACGCGTGAATACCAAAAGTATGCTTTACCTGATATTAAATATGCTGATTCCCATGATCTAATATATATCATATGCAAATTATTCAGCACGCGTCAATAAATTAATGTACCCAATGTCTTATTACCAAGTGCTACAAACCACATTCATTGAAAAGCATTCGAAAAGAAACTTTTTGTCCAATGGCACACAAAATGTCAACCTTGTTTTGTGCAACCACAGCATCAAGGTTTTATTTACGTTAGTGTATGGTAGAAAAAATCCATGGAAGAGAGTACCCGAGTAAAAGGATTTCCTCCCATTTCATAACCCCTTTTCGCTTACCTTTTGTGCAAAGGGAGATGGTAAGCTTGCTTTTGGGCTACCAGAAAAAGACATTGAAGCTTGTGCGGATCCCTTTATATTACACCACGTGCTGCAACGACCAGGAGGTCTCTTGTTTTAGCAACAATGCAATTAGTGTATTTGTACCAATAGCTAACAAGAGATGTGATGATCTACCGCGGTTGTGGTTTATGTGCCTGCAGCAAAACCAAAAAAGAGTACTTGCAAGCTTGCACAATGATACTCGTGTTGTCTGTGTGTTCTATCTCACACACACACACACACCACATTGGATCATCAAGCGGAGGATCAAAAGATAATCAGAGTGAGTGATGCTGAATGTGTGTGCCTTGGCCTGGTCTCTTTTTCTTCCTTCCCTTTTCCACTTGTCACCATCTTTCTTTCCCCTTTCCCTTCTTTGTGTGTCGCTTCTTTCTCTCTTTGTTGTATAAACCCACCACTTTCTTTTATATGCCATGCTCACAGCAGAAGCAACAACAACTACAACAACACCAACAACGAACGACGCTTCTCTCGTGGCTCAACCAACTTTATCCAGCAATGTCAATAATGCAACCAACAAATTAGCAATGGGAGCGACCACCATGTCGAGGTCAGGCAGTGCAAACAGCAACATCAGCAATGGAGCGGTTGTGCATCAGAATCCTTGCACTTCAGGAACAGCGACAGCCATTGGACAACATGTTACTGAATTAGACGATGTCGACGATGAAGAAGAGGACTATAGCGTGTCACCAGCAATGGCACGGTCTTCAGTTGAGCCTGAGCGAGTGTTATCGAGGCGACCATCGAATGGGTCTATTCGATCCAATATTTCCACGAGTTCCATGTTTAGTGTTACCAGCCGAATGTCTCGTATCCCCAATGCTTTCCGATCATCGATTGTTTCAGTAAAGGATTTCATGTCTTCGAGTCGTCGACCAAGATCACGTAGTCGACTTGCTACTATGATGCTTCATCAACGACAACAACATGACAATAATACCAATACCCCATCAGCATCGGATCAACCACCAGCAGCACCACAAACCATTCATTACACAACACCAGCTTCGGCTCCGTTTCCCGATAATTCACGCTTACAACGTCGTACGCCAAGTTCATTAGGGCTGTATACTATCTTTTCAAGTAATAACAAGGATCGGTGTCTTCCTGTCGCGGAGCCAATGAACGGTGATACGAATCATGATGGTTCACCAGCCATGATGCAGCGGGCTTACAGTGAAAATCATAAGCTTCAGCTTGAAGGTGGTACTACGACTACTACTGTCATGATGGAGGAGGATTCACGAGGTAAAGCTCCACAACAATCAAAAGGAGCTGTTGGCGAACTCTTATTCGGGATGGATATTGGAAGTATGGGATTCTTTGATGGTGACGCGGTCGATTCCTCTGTTTCAAGTATGATATCTGGATCTGATGATGTCAAAAGTGAACAATGCACCGATGCTACTACATCCAGTAATGAGGTTGTTTGGGGTAGACAACGAGCCAAATCATGCCAAGTAAGGATCTTGATATACGCCCGTGCAAGATGAATTGGTATTAATATGGATTTATTTAGGAAGCATCCAAGGCATCATCCTCTTCATCACTTCGACGTCTTGCTCGGGGTCAATACGCTTCCACCGCAGCACTCAACTCGCACAAAATGTCATCTCCGCCCATACCATCTGCCACGCTTGCGGATAACGACCTTTCAGAAACCAACCACAAACCATCATCGACAACAGCCAACTATCGCCATTTGAATACAAATACAGAAGATGGATTCTCAGGAGGAGGAGGAGGAGGAGGAGGACATTACAAGAATAAGCGGAAATTGGTAGAAGGCAACAAAGGAGGAGGAGGCATCGTTGACCTGTGTCACAACATTCTTGTCACCGCAACTTTGACGACGTTGCACAGCAAACTGATCAGTGAGTGTGACAATCTCCTTGCATCAACAATTCTATCACCTGATGGAACGATCAAACGGTTCCCCGAGGAACAGCTGCGTATCCTTGTCAATGATGTGCGTAAAATGACCGATATGGTGGAATGGGATACTCAAGGAGAGGGGTCCAAGTCAGCTATCCAGGCGTTCTTTGTCACTGTGAATGAAAAGATTGCTCAAGCCAATGCATTGAATGAATCTCTTACTGCTGATGGCCAACCTATTCAGCCCACGAGCAAAAAAGATAGCAAGGATATCATGGCACGGATTGCAAATCAAAACCAGGCGGTGGCAAGTGCTGTCAAGGAGATTGTAAGCATTTGAAAAAATAGGAGGATTAGGAGCAATTAAGATACTTACCGCTCTCTTCTCTTGTAGATCACTTTGTTGAAGCAAATGGTGAATCAAAGTGTGTGTCAGTATCACAAGGTCTATGAACGATCCATGGTCATCCCATGCAAGAATTATCGCATCGAGGGCAAGAATCGTTTGGGAAGCAATGCGCAGGATTATGCAGTGGACAACACACGCCCCGATTATGCACAAGCCAATGTGGAGCATATGGATGAGGAGGCTTATGGTTTTCGCAATCGTTTTGTGGATAAGGATTATACCACCTTTGTTGGATATACCAAAGACAATGATCCCATCTTGGTGACAGCTGTTTGCGAGGAGAAGGAGGTGGATGACAATGACGAGGAGAACAAGCCTGATGCATCGACAAAGAGACTATACCATATCATCATACGCAAAAAGCAGGTATGTGAAGGAGCTTGATTTACTATTACCCTGTGCGTTTGTGCATCAGCATGTCGCGATTTCATCTCCTATTTCTTTCTTTATCTCTCTCTCTCTCTCTCCTCAACCTTATTTACGCTCCATTTTCTTATACATGTTGTTTTTTCTTTCAGGGACAAGATATCCGCAAAACTATACCAGATTCATTCCTGCTACGAGCACCATCGGCTGAAACCCCTGAAAAGGATCCGATCCTCGATACAACATGGAAAGCAGTCATTGAGCCTTCGTTGGATATACCCTTTGACAACATGAAGAAAATTGATGCCAACACGATGAGCAACTCTGGATTACAAAAGGATATCTTGATGCTGGATGAGCAAGCGGTAAGCGGATGATCATATCCAATCCAAGGGAGGGAAAGGGATAAAAACTCATCATTGCACTGTTATGTTGTTTAGGTTCATGATCGTTACAAGTTTGGTGTGCTTTATATCAAAGAGGGTCAAACCAGGGAAGAGGAGTGGCTTTCTAACAATCACGACTCAAAGCACTTTGACCACTTCCTCAATATTATTGGCCGAAAAGTTCCCCTGAAAGGATACAATGGATGGGCTGGGGGTCTTGATACTAAAGGTATGCACACATATGAGAAGGGCTGAGGCATTTATGTAAGCGTCACTAACATTACACTTATTAGGCGGTTATTCTGGCGAGCACACATTTGTGAATGAGTGGAACGGACACAATATCGCTTATCACGTCTCAACAATGATCCCTGCACATCCAGGAGATAAGCAGCAGGTGCAAAGGAAACGCCACATTGGCAACGGTAAGACTACATAGCTGCTGTTGTGGAACACGACTCCATCCACTAAACCCTTGAATCTTATATAGACATTGTATGCGTTGTATTCGCCGAAGGAAAGCAGCCATTTAATCCTGCAGCCATCAAATCACAATTCCTGCATGTCTTTATTGTGGTCCACCCAGAGGAATGGAATGGCCGTATAGGATGGAGGTAAAAGCATGCGAATGATCTAGGCATTCAAGTAAACCACTCATTTGCGTTTTCTCTTATGCAGGGTCGAAATTGCCATGGCCGAAAATGTGCCTAGTTTTGGTCCCTCATTGCCAGCGGAAAATGCCGTATTCTTTGATGAAGCCGAACTTCGCTCCTTTATGCTTGCAAAATGTAAGAGAGACATAGAAAACAAACAATCCCTTGTTAACTTTGTTTACAAACATGCTACTTGCAGTGATCAACGCCGAATATGCCGCGTACCAATCACCCAAATTTGCTCAACCAATGGCACGTGCACGTGAAGGCATCCTTGCGCACCTTTTGGAACGTGGTAACAAGATAGCCCAACCCATAGAGTTGTCTCCAACAGCAACCAGCACACCTTCATCATCATCTTTGGCGCGCCATGTCAAATCACCATCGACTTCATCCGACAAGAGCTCAAAGAGTGCATATAGCAGTTCAAGTGATGCAGCTGCAGCAGTACCAGTACCCTCACGATCCAGCATGATTAAAGACTTTTCGGAAGGGATTATTGCTGCAGGTCTCGGGCGTCGGCGTAGCGGTCAGGATTTGAGTGATGCACGTTTGAAACCAGTGCGTGGTGTTGTCAAACCAAAAAAGTCCAAAGAAGCAGATGAAGGTAAAACAATGATTGCTGTTGCCATGTGTTCAAATCATACTCAAGGTCCAATTTGATTACTAGACACAACAACAGCAACAGCATCAGCGTCATCATCATCGCAACAGAGGAGTTGCTCTGAGCTGGATCTCATACAACAACAACCCTCAGCAACGGCCATGTCAGGTTCTCGTTCAAGTGGAGCGATCATGCAAAATCCATCAAAGAATGGTAAGCTTGGGAATAGTGTCATGAAAGGTTAAAATGCTGAGACCTGGGGTTGTTTTTGTAGAGCGTAATGGTTTCCGATACAAGGCACAAAGCATCCTAACATCATTTGGTGGAGCAGGACGACGCCAACAACAACAATGATCTTCATTCCCCATTCCCCAATCACCACCACCACCACCATAGCGACATGTTAATACCCATTCCCATCATACTTCTTTTGATTTGTTTGTAACTTGTATAAAAAAAGGATTGCATATATTCACACAAACACTCACAAAAGGAAAAAGAGTCATGATGCTGCTGCTAATGTATGGTATACACAACATTTGCATTGACAGGCAAGACAACATGGATACACAAAAATTGAAAAAACGACCAGTGCATATCGGCATATTTGTCGGCATTGACAACGAGAACCGCGCGCGGGCATACAAGAGAGATTAGGATTTGGGGAATATGGTGCGCACAGACTGAAGAACATACCGATCATCTGAAAGAGAGTAAAGATGCGATGGTTTTGTCATGGATGTAATATGTGAGTGAATGATCGAATGTCCAAGTCTTAAGGGGTTATGAATAAATAAAAACCATGCATAATGAAGTGGGTGTGTGTGTGTGTGAACAAAGGAGGAAATAGAGGGGGGACATCATGCGCCCACCAAAACTCGTAAATGTAAAAAAGACAAGAGAATGTTGGGGGTGTAAAGGATAAAGCACAGGGCAACGACAAAGGAAAAGCGTGCAAAAACGGAGAGCTCGAGGATGTGTGTGTGTATAATGCAAAGGGAATATGTACATGTATGAACACATTCATCCAATAAAGTAATAATAAACAAGGAGCATTACACGGATCTACGGTATGGGTGTTTTCATGCAATCCAACCCAACCTCCTCTCCTACCCCCTTTCCAGCCTCGTCTTTCTCACTCGTCTACAATGCACCCTGGGCATATACACAAAGCAAAACGTGAAAAGCTTGATAAGGGAGAGAGCAGATTTGTGGGGGGTCGATTACAAGGGGGGTGGTGATGAGTGAAGAACACACACACTTTGTGAGGATTGATCAAGCCCTTTTTCCCTTTTTCTGTTTAAGGGTCATGTGCCATGTGCTTCTTCATGTCATAGGTGTGTGTGTACATTTGTGTGCGTGTGTGTGTGTTACGTGGCCCGTGTGTATGTGAAAGCAGCAGCACATTGATGGAACAATCAAAGCATGTGTACATGTATGTCACATAGATTGAGATATGCAAGAAAGGGTAATGAAGGAAGCGAGATCAAGCTTGCACAATTTCATCACGTCGCGTGCATTCAATAAACCCATTCTTTCGGTCTCGGATACAAAAATTCCTTCCCGCCAAATGTAATCACCCACTGTTGTGCTCCCCAAAAAGGGCAACTCCATCCATCTGGGACCTTTGCAGTGCCTCCTTGTCGCATTGACCTGTTCCATAACATACCTCGTGTGCGTATAACTTGCCCTCGTTTCTTCCCTTTTCTCTTCTTTTTTCTTTCTCTCTTTCTTACACTCTTCTTGCTCTTGCAGCATCAACCTCACTTTTTTTATTCTTCTTCTTCAACTATTGGTCTCTTGCATAATCTTAGCTTGTACATCACCCCTTTTCTTGTAATACCAAAATGTCAACCATCCCACAGGACTTGAGTTACACTACCACCACTACCATGACACCAGGCTTAATGCGATCAGGTAGCAGCTCCTCTTCATCTGGTGGAGGCTCGATTATCACTAGCCCCACCGATGATGCAACCATTGACTTTACCGTTCCGGCTACATCTTCAGCGTCGCCCACTTATCCCTTGACATGTTACAATCCCGTTTCATTGTCTTCATGCCCCTCAGCTCCAACGGATGCAACAGTTGCAGCTGCTGCTGCCGCTGCTGCCGCTTTGAACGACAAAAGTCAATTTCCTTCTGCAAATGAATTTGATCGCATCGTAAATGACTATCTCAGAAACCTGTCAAGCAAGAAGCGTGATAAAGCACTTGTCGATCATAAGCGATATCAACTCATCTTATGTGTGCTCAAGGATCCACGTAATACATCCATCTCCACAGCTCAATTTCGATTTTGGGTAAAAAAGATGTTTCAGCTGGTGGACAAGGATGTCGTTTATCACGACAACAAACCCGTTGCCATGCGTGAGCAAATCTATTCCATCTTGGTGACCGCACACAGACAAGCTCATCATGGTGGCCGAGATAAGACATCCGCTTTGGTATGATTCATCAATGATCAGAATGTAGCAATGAGAATGGTATGCTTATTATTGATGTTGCTATGTAGGTTCGTAAGCGATATTCATGGATCCCAAAGGAATTGATTGCCCGGTTTGTACGACATTGCCCATTTTGCATTACGCGACGAAACGGATGTGGCAGCCCACCCACAGTTGATGCCGGCACTCCTGATACACCTTTGGATGATATCAAGGAGGAGCCACAATCCCAAATGCAACAACATCTTGATTATACACATTTGGCTCAAGAGCAACAACAACAACAGCAGCCAGCTTCATGGTGGTATCAACAGCCTGACATGTTTCAAATGAGTAGCCATGACAACCAAGGACTCGGCAATGGATCTTCGAGCTGTTTTCAATGGCCGGCAATGGGCCGACGACCAAGTAACTTTGTACCATCGTATTATTATAGTATGCCGGCTCACACTCGGCCTGACATGTTGATCTCCTCACCACACGACCCACAAGGCAATGCATGCTCTGTTGCTGCAGCAGCAGCAGCAATGGCTGTTAGCAGTGCAGCTTCCTCTTCATACATGCTTAACCATTATCGCCCATTATCACCTTGCTCTTCACTCTCATCATCTTCTCCACGTGATGAATTCCCCCCTTGTTCTTCCACATCTAATACTACTACAACTACTACTATGCAACAACACCATCACAATAGCTACTACTCCTCCACATCCAACCATACTACCATGTCTCCTTATGCTCTCGACCTCTCACCTATTGACTTTTTTAACCCATCCTCCTCCACGCAATAATTTTAATCTTCCATCTATTATTCTGCCACCCATTATCATTCATCCATCCGCATCCCCCCTCCCTTGCCCTTCCCTTCCTCCCTTCTTTGTTTGTCTATGCTTTCATTTACATCGTACATATGTTTATTTGCCCTTCTCGTTTTTTTTTCTTTTGTTTCCTGTCCAATCTCTCTTGAAAACACTCTCACACACTTACACACTTGCTATCAAAACAACCATTTCTAGTAGTCATCTTCCGTACAACCTTTTAATGACAACACACACATACAAAAAAACCACCAACAACGTGCATCAACACTTTTCTCCTCCCCACTGGAAGCACTTTTTTATGCAAACCCGGCTGCAAAAACCTAACATAAAAAATCTTGTGTATTCACCTCCATCAGCTTGAATAAAAGAGAGCACCTTTTGGCCTCCATTTGCTATCATCTTATTATGCATTGAACGGCGCACCAAGTTAGATCCTTGCCTTGTGGATGGGACCACGTGTAATGGGGCTTGTATTGGTAGGCAACTTACTATTGCATGCTGTATAGAGCTTAGTATCCAAAGGCGGCGGATAAAAGGGATCGGTATTGGTGATGATTGAAAGCAAAGCATAATGAAAGTGCCCTTGCAGGAAAAGGGAAACAAAGAAAGTGGAAGTATATGTATACATTCATAATTGAATGGTTGTTGGCGACAGCAGCAGAGCAGCAGCTTAGTTGAATTGCTTTGGTTTGTATTTGAGCCATGATGTATCCGAACAACCAAGATAACGCAACGCCAGGTGGAGCGTAATTGCTGATTCGTCGTTGATGCTTACAGTACTTGAATGTATACGTAGACATGCCAGCATAAAAGGGAGGTGAGTTATACTATCGAATACAGCCTTTGTTCAAGACACAATGAACCAATCAAATCCTTTCCTTTCCTTTATTACAGCATTCACAAGTGGACCATAAATCGCTCTATGTATAATGCAACGCTTAAAGCTCGCACATGACAAAGTCCAACTCACGAAGACCTTCAATCCAATACCATCACAAAAGATAAACTGGGCACGAGATCGAGTAGTACGAAGCATTGCTCTAATGGGGGATGCGTCGATATGGGGAAGTGTCTATTCTTTGGGTGTGCATTGTGCTAAGATGGATGTGAAGTGGCACGAGATGGCGTATCAAGCACAAAACATGGACCTGGATGATGATGGTTGTACATGGTTGACAGGTCGCACAAAGGATGATGATGGTAGCTGCCGTAAACTACGACAATTGGGTGCACCAATCGTTCAGGATGATGGCATCAAGCACAATCACCAAGTTGGCAGTGGATCCACTCTTTTTTCACGCGCTACATGTATAAACCCAAACCCTTCCATCCCATGTACCATATTCCATATCCATATCCATATTCAAAGGAAACGGTATGTATTGAATCAAGTTGCTACGTGTAAATAATGCTGCTTCTATACAATGGCTAGCTGCTGTTCACGTAACAAAGGCTGCAAGGGAAGCTGCTGCAAGTAAAGAACGCTGTTCGAGGCAATGCAGTATAGACCTTGCTAATGGCAGCTGCTGCAATGAATGCTGTTACGTTTGTTTGTGGCAGAGGAGTGTCCAAGAGAGAAGCGGCTCGTGTGTTGTAGAAGAGTGACAAGAAGGTTGTGTACACGCCATGAAGTTGCCATTCAGTCAAAGACAATCGGATCAACACAATGGGAGGATTGACATGGTAGGTTGAAGCAGGGCAATCGTTCGCAGGTGGTAATTGTTCTTGAAATGGGGCAGCAGTTGAGAATAGGGGAAGAGGGAAGAAGTTAAAAGAGTGGAAGAGCTGTAAATTAGATAGGTCAGGCACTGCCCTACAAATGCATGAACACTGTACATCACACCTTGATATTGAGATTGCCCCTCTCGAACCTGAAACTTTCACACAAGATGCTCTCGGATACGTTGATCACCTTTGTTCTAATAAAGACCCCACGTTTCATTATAGAACCTTTGAGTGGGAGAGTCCAAATGTAAGAGAGTCATAAATGGATGACAACACATACCACATCATCTCCTCTTTATTTGGCCGATTAATGCATGGGCAACATTACACGTACGTAGGGTCTTCAGGTATAATCCTGGCATAGGTGTCCCATCACTCTACCAGCGCATGCATTGATTTATCAATGTATCATTATCCCCAACAAAACATTTATCATTCTTTGTGGTCACAGAAATCCCCACGCCCACCATCCACATATAAACAAGAAGGATGTTGTCGCCTACTATCATATTCCTACCGATCTCTTTCTTCCATCATATCACTCTTTGATCGCTTACAAGCTCATTGTCCCAGGTTTGTGAGTATCTCATTTCTTGCATCTTGTGAGTAAACGCTGATCTTTGGTGTCATCCATAATAGAGCTTCATTGTTACCCTGGTTTCATTATTGTCATTGTGATATTATGGGATTCTTTGTAATGTTGAGGTAAACCTCGACCACATTGTTTGATGAATCGCATACTCATACATCATTGATATAGCCCGGTGATGCATTTGCGAAAGTTGGATTCGGCGTCGTGGTCTACCATCGTACGCGCAAATAGCAGAGACAACCGGTGAACTTTATGCGCCGCTTAGTCCAAGCTTCCAGCAATGTCTTTGACCAGCGCCATGTTGAGCCAATAGTTGTGACAATTGGAATGGCAACAAATCAAGGAAACAAGATGAAGGCAGCAGCTGCGCCTGAAATCTTATGCAGAGCATAGATTGTGATACGGCGACATATGCCTTCGTTCATATTCAAAACCGGAACCACGACTTTGTTTTGCCTCAAAGACATCGCCCTGGGACTGATCTCATGAGTAAAGCGGTTCTGCATAACTGCGCAGTCATGGACATGGTCCTTGAGACCGTTGTTGGTATGCCAATTGCCTTTTTTTTACCACGTACTCGAAACTAACTTTTACTAAAAAATAGGAACATCTTGCAAGGGCAAAGACGCTTATCCAAAACCAAGTCAACATATGGCCGTCGCTACTAGCAAGGATGTCACCAACAAGGTGGTGGCTGCACCCAAGGTCAATACAAAGTTACCCAGCGACCATTGAGCACAACACTATTACTTCATCGATAGGATCACCGTCAAAGGGACCTTGGATGACACGCTACTTGCACCGGTTGTTGCCATCGCTCATGTGCTCATCGAACAACAAGTATCTCTTCTTGGACTTGAGCACAAGGATGATCCCACTCGCTTGTTGTGTTCCGTTGCTAAGGATAATCTGCAGCATCAAATCAGCAAACGAGGAGGAAGGTGCCATTGCTGTCTTGCGCACCGCTTGCCATACAAACAATGTGCAATTCAAGCGGGAGTGCCACTCTTCGATGTACTCTCAATAAACAAGAGGTCAAAAACCTCCTTATAAAAACTCAAGCGGATACCAGATACCATCACTGAAAACAACATCAACGAAAAGCGTTTGAAGGCTTATGCTGAACATGGCCTTTCATATGCAGAAACATGTCTCCGCAAATATTCGCAGCAACAATGCAAATACAGAAGGACTACCATCCATGTTCACAAGCACTTTATGCAAACTTAGCTGCAAATACATCACGTGGAGAGTTCACTGTATTCACATCTTTAATAAAAGAGCGTACTTTTTTTACTATCATCTAACCGCTATTATTACATGTATCATGCAGTGGAAGACACACTAAGTTAATTGCATGCGGATGGGATCAGGGAGTCATGAGATAAAAGGGCCAGGTTTGATGATTAATATCAGGATCATAATGTGACATGGTCTTGCATAAAAAGAGAGAACAAAGAAATTGGAGGTGGATGATTGTTGAAATGCGCTGGCAGCCTAATTGATTTGCTGAGACTGCTCTGATTTGAAAACCCAAACTTTTCTTTCACGTCCCATGACTGATACCAGCAATACCAGCGTTGCACCCACCGTGGTCCCAGTCGTATCCACTGTCGACGATATCACTGAAGACTTTCCTCATGTGCGTGCCGACCAATACGTGTTGATCCAAATGCCTAGTGGCAATGTCAAGATCGTCAGCCTAAAGCCCAACACGTGAGTCCTTTTGACCGATCTATGCACAACCAAACCCCCCCAATCTCACTCATATGGTCACGATCGCAGCCAAGTATCCCTCGGCAAGTTTGGTACATTCAATTCAGATAACCTGATCGACAAGCCGTTTGGTGTTTCGTACGAGATCTATGACGATAAGGGTAACATTCGGCCTGTGCGCAACTGGGCACTTGACGTTGTCGGTAAGTCAATGCTGGATGTATATGTATGTATAGGGTGAGTGGTGTATCTAATGGGGATATGTATGCTTCTAGAGGAGACCAATGCCAACAATCAAATGATCATCGACAATGCGGCAGTGCAAAAGCTATCCCATCAAGAAGTGGAAACGCTCAAAGCCGAGAGTTTAAAGGGCAACTTGACAAACGACGTAAGCGATAAAACATTGTATGGTCAATGCATGATATTCATTACGACATGGATCACTTTATAGGAAATCATTCAAAAGATCATCTCATCGCACGCTGAATTTGATAAGAAGACCGAGTTCTCAAAAGCCAAATACATTGAACGCAAAAAGAAAAAGTAGGTTATCGCATGGATATGTGAGTATGGGTGTGGATGCAATGGTATTCATGGTCGTGTTCAGGTTTATGAAGGTGTTTACTCCTGTTCGGCCGACGTTGTATCAGATCAACGAGCTATTCTTCAACAAGAATCCAGAAAAGATCAAGCAAGTATATACGCTATAAATGCATGCCACTGATTTTACTAACAAGTACGAGTAGGGGTTTGCGTGTGGACACACTTTCACAAATCCTCAGTTTGGCCAATGTGCGATCCAATAGCAAGGTCCTGGTAGTTGACGACACACAAGGTCTTATCGTTTCTGCTGTCGCCGAACGTATGGGTGGATACGGCACAATTGTTGCTATTCACGATGGTGACAACCACAACTACGACGTTTTGCGATACATGAACTTTTCTCGACGTATCCTCGACACTATACACACAGTGCCATTATCCAAAATCGACCCTGCTGATCCCAATGGTACTAGAGGAATGCTCAATGGGAAAGGAAAGATCGCATATTAATACGCCGATGTATGTAGATCCATTCGATGAAAAGACGAAGGAAGAAATCGATGCAATGGGAGAATTTGAACGTCGACGTTATGAGAGAAAGAAGAATGTGGCAGATGCCAAGGCAAGGAATCGTGAATTACTATTTGAAGGCAAATTTGATGCGTAAGTGAGCAGGCTATGTGTTCACAAAATATGACCACTGACATCAAGGAATCCATAGATTGATTATATCCTCTCCATATGAACCTTCCACGGTTGTCGAACGTTTATTCCCATACATTTCTGGTTCAAGACGCATCGTCATTTATGGATTCACAAAGGATGTGCTTATTGATACAGCAGCATGGATGCGCAAATCAACGAGTTACTTATCAGTGGATATCTCAGAGAGCTTCTTGCGACAATATCAGGTATGTAAAGTAGGTGTGGGAAGACTAAGCATGATGGCAGGAGTTAACGCAATGGGATCGATCATAGGTCTTACCAGGTCGGACGCACCCTGAGATGACTACCAGTGGTGGTGGTGGCTACTTGTTATCTGCACTCAAAGTCATTGATTGTCCTGAGGATATGGCCATTGTTTTCCAGAATGAAATGGATGCAAGGAAAAACAAGAAGCAAAAGCGTGATAAGAAGCCCAATGCATCAAAAAAGCAAAAGGAGCAACAACAACAATCATGATATGTGTAGTTTCTTTTTAATATTATAAAGGTGTCTTGTATAGAATAATCTAAGGTGATGGGGGTTGTACAAGTTGAATGACTTCTCGAGAAAGTGCAGCGATCGATGTAGTTTTGATAATCTTTTCAGCCTTTTTCGTTTCAATCACTTGCTTGATATCCAATGCTGACAATAGCTCCGCAACTGATGATTGCTCTGGTGCAAGAAAAACAAACTTGGCAATGGAAGCCAACAATCGATGTACTAATAGTAATAGTGATAGTGAGTCGAATCGTCCCATCCATTCATATATAAAAAGAAAAACCTACCAACTTCTTCATCCGTTTCCTTGTTCAAAACATCCATGACAGCACTCACAATCTCAATTTGCCAATCATCATCCTCTTGCTCTGGCATACCCGATAAGTACTCATCATCTTGTTCCTTCTTCAGGCGTTCATTGGCAACAGTCGTTGAGCAGTTGAATGCAAGAGATGCTGCTGTTTGTCGCACCTGACTCTCAGGGGAAAGAAGGCTGTTGATCAAAAGCTGTGTCAAGGATGCACGATGGGAAGCGGTTGGTAGCGTGGAGGTAAAATAGGTCGTGACAAGATGATCGTGAGCAAACAGATTACAAGCCTACAATACTCTATGAGTATCTGTGTCCATTAACATGTAATCATCTTTTTAACTTTACCACACGAAGGGTCATCAACAGGGAGGCCTTGGGTATACTTGTTTGCTTGTAACCATTCTCAATGACACGCACCAGTTGTGAGCCTGAAACATACCCACCAAGAGTCATTAGTAACCTCCAATATCATCCACCAATTGCAAGGTTGACTTACAGTCATTCATGTAAAAATCGGCAGCATGTTGTGTTGCTAGCAATGTCCGAAAGATATCCAACAATGGGAACTGGTGATCCATCGGGAGCTTATCCAAGAGCTTGTCTATGTAGCATCATCATTGTTAGTCTTTTGCAGGATTATCCATGGTTACTATACTCACCTAACAGCTGATGCCAATGCTGCATATCAAGTGACTTTGCATCATTTTGCTGTATAGCAGCTTTGCTTTGGGAAAGGGTGCGTTGCTCTTGTTCATTCAATTCAATCTTGTCTTGCTCAAGGAAGGTCTCAAGTTTGCCAAAGATCATGTCCATTTTACCAGGTGTGGCATAGAGCACAGGCTTGTTGGGTAGGTTGACAACATTGCGTAGCTGAATCTTGCGATGAGGATGTGCTATTTGCAACATGACATCAGCTTTCCCATGCACATGCATAATTGGTAGACTTACGTGGATATGCCGTAAATAGTAATAGGTTGACAGAACTTTGCAGCTCGGCATAATTGGCACCTCGAAAATCGGAAAACTAAAAGAGAATGCATTGAGAATTCACTGGTGTTGGCAATGGTGTCCCATAGTTACCTTTTGTCCTTGGTGGAAAAGCATAAATGTGGGCGTTGCACGAATACCATACTTTGATGCTGCGTCAAATGCAACCGAGGTATCCACAATGACACCAAGGATTTTGATCTTTGTACCACCCGTCGAGTTCTTTTCCTCCATTAACCTCTCGAAATCAGGCTTGATCATTCGACAAGGTGGGCACGTAGCCGATGTGAAGAATACGACAACAGCCTTGTAAGATTGGATCCATTGTTCTAGGCTTGCAAGGTTTTGAGCTGTTTGCACAGGTTTAGGTGGAGCTGATATGGCTGCTGATGAGATGTTCTGCAAAAGGGATTGGGCGCTATCGGATGGTTGTGCTGAAGAAGGAGGTGGTGCATTTGTTGAAGGTGCTGCTTGAGATTGACCAAACATGTTCTCGATCATAGGAAGCATGGATTGACCAAAAGGGCTAATATCCCATATGTCAGATGGATCCAAAGATATCGTCATTGCGTGTCCTTATGCTTACGTGTTCAAAAAGTCGGAAGGCAAACTTGTAATATGACTTGGGATGCTTTTGCCTGTCAAGAACTGGCACATGCTCTCGGAAAAGGTGTTGCAGTTGAAATCAAGCAAGTGGTACTTTTCAGGTCTATCACAAAGAACATCAATGACATGTATTCAATACCAATATGATCATATAAACTTACGTAAACACACTGCGTTGACTCTCAATGTATTCCAATACCACCTCTGGAGGCAAGTATGTCTCGCCCATATCGATGATTTCTAGTGGTTGGCCATGATGCGTAGCACCTAGCAACACATGTATGAATAAATGCCATCCACCATAAAAGTCGACTTGTTACCTGGTGACGATGTAAGGATGCCTTGACCATAATAGAACTCTTGTCCAAAGACGACGACTGAAGTATGCCAAATGCCATCTTGTCAAGTAGGTACGAAACAACATGTTAGCTATTGCCATGAATACTCACTGTCACTGTCATGTTCCTCTTACCAATTTGTCGTCCTGTCAACGACATTGACATTTGCTTGGCAAGTCCATTGGATAGATCGTAAATGTAGAGCTTCACTGCTTCGCCTGTCATTTTCCAAAGAGATCGATTCGAAAGAGAGGAAGATAAGACGGTGAATGGCTCGCAGGAACAAGTGGTGTGTGCCTTGTTAAGCTACCAAACTCAGCGCGCCACGCACAACCTATTTCAACGACATTCATGTGTAACCTTGTCATTCATCTTCGGCTCTGATGTAGCTAGGCCTATATGATCTATTACTATACACACTTCAAATCATCGTTCAGCAGTATAAAGTACATAAATTCAATGAGGGGCATGCGATGGGTAATGTGCTCGTTATTCGGAGGAAGTTTTTGGGCATTAGAAGAGTAAGGGATGTAGATCAAGTACATAGCAAAACATTAGCATTGGATGATTGAAAGTCATCCCATTGGGAATGGTCCTCTTGCATACAAAACAATCGATCAATGGTTCCATTATACATGTAAAAATAACTACCACCGGGTACCTTTATGGGGAAGAAGCAAGACCTGGCGTATTGATGTTATATGAAAAAGGCTTCATTCAGTGATATCATTCATTGTTATTGATATAATGAGGCATGTATAAAAAAAGAACAAGTCTTCAAATGAACATGTGCCAATCCGTTACTCAAATACAAAGGACAAAGCCCACCAGGTTTATTGATCACTATATCCACGTAGCTATTCATATGCAATCGACCTTTCGAGAGACGTCGGAGAATCAAGTGCATTGTACTCAGTGTGGCAGCCCAAACATAAACTTTGGAGGTGTTCTTTGCACAATGGAAGTGCTCCGACTTGCACAGTCTTTCACCCAATGGAATCTGAACTTGGTGAACTCGCTGGATCCTTTCAACAATGGTCTGAACATATAAACAACCAAAAGAAACTTTTGGAATCGGAGATCGATCGCCTCAAGTCCTTCCAACAAGACCACAATGCTCTCGAAAAGCAGCTAAAGACTTTGCCTGATAAAACGACGCGATCTGCCATGGTAAAGTGACAACGATCGTCCACTTTGCACTCTCCAAGTCAAGTACTAACATACCTATAGATCCCCATTGGTAGTCTAGCGTTCATGCCAGGAAAGTTCATTCACACCAACGAGATCACTGTTTATCTTGGAAGCAACTACTATGTGGAACGATCAGCCAAGCAAGCTCTTGAAATACTCGATCGCCGCAAACAAGGTGAGAAGTGAAGTGGCCGATAGGCTATGTAGCAACATGATTACTTATCCCAATTCTAGTGGTGAAGGACAACTTGAAGCTGCTGGAGGAACAATTTGAAGGATTATCGTCCAAAGAGGATGCTAAATTTGGTGCATTTCCTTCTAGTGATATGGGTGTAAGTTATTTTGTTTAATGCACGTATTGGGATATGGAAGGATGGATATCTAATGAAGTCCTTTAGGTGAACGAGGAAGGTTTGCCCATCATGGAGATTCGTGAGGAGCTACCAGAAGAAGGCGATCAACAGCAGCAGGAGGCATCAACGAGTCAACCTGAACCAGCAAAGCCTGTCATCAGCTCAGAAACAGAAAACGCCACTTCAGCTGAAAAGCCCGTTGCCACCGACAACAAACATATGAAGGATGTCATGGCATTACTCGAGCAACTTGATGGAGAGGATGAGGATGAGGAAGAATATGTCGAACAAGAGGAGAAGTCTTTTCGAGAGAGAATCATGGAACAAGCAAAGGAGGAAGAGAGTGATGAGGATGATACTGATGGCGACGAATTGGATGATCGCTATGACACCGAGATCGCTGATAACCTATTCGACCATTTCGATGATGATGAGGAGTATGCAATCGAAGGTGTTGTGGAACAAGAGGATGCTACTATTCATGAGGAGGACAACGACGAGGCATCATCTTTAGTACCAAATGTGATTGAAAGCACCATTAAAGAAACACCCACAGTAAGCGATGCATCCAAAGAAAAGGCGAAAGAAAAGGTCGTAGCACATCAACAAGAGCAATCAACAGAGGTGCAAGCTGCGACTGTAGCATCATCGCCAACTACTTCCGAGCCGGTCTCGAAGCCCAAAAAGATCTCCAGATTCAAAGCAGCTCGCAATCAAGATCGGATACATACTCCAGAGACAACCAATGAATCACATCAACCAGCTTCAACATCCATTGAAGAACATCAGATACCAGCTGTGAAACCAGTAACTTCATCAGCAACCGCACCAAAGAAAGTGTCCAAATTCAAAGCAGCACGTCAACAACATATGGAAATCCCTTCTGTTGAAGCAGCTGACAGCAATGCATCATCTTCAGCGACATCAAGAAAGAATCAGGCTCGAAGTATTCCTGAAGTGCAACCTTCAACATCCAATGAGCCATCAACAACCCCTATTCAGAAACGTGGCATTCCTGTGGTAGAATCAGCAGGTGCGAAAAAGAAGACTTCACGATTCAAAGCAGCACGGCAACAAGCTCGAGAGAACAAGACGACCATAGAACCTTCTTCATCCGTATCTCCTATCAGAAATAGTAACACCGTACCATCCAAAGATGAGAATGGCAAAAGGAGGGTGACATGGGATGAAGTGGCGACTGTGCAGGAACACGATCGCTCAGCAGCACCATCTGAAGCTACCTCCTCTGACACATACAAATCGCCTGTAAAACAAGAATCCGACAACGCTACTACGGCGGTTCCTCAAGTCATCCGTTCACCAGCTGATATTTTCAAAGTGGTCAAAGCCCAGCGGCAGATATTGTTGGATGACGGCTATCCATCCCTTGACACAGGCGAGGATAATTTTGATGAAGCTGAGAGCACTATCGTTACCATGGATGAATTACGACATTCCGCAAATCTCGGCAAACAGGAATTATGGCAACTCAAAGTGGAACCTGACAACCCGATATTCTACAACAATAACCAGATGCCTCAAGAGCAGCAGCAGCAGGCTAGTTTGCCAAAGATGCCAAAGAGTAAGCTTGATACCAACATCATGAAGGGTGCTGTGCTTGAACGCGAGATCGAAGCTGTCGACTTGGAACAAGTGGAGGCTGACATGGATTTACGTGAGGTATATTCATTTTGGATATTGCATGTCCAAGACCCCCTTTTTTTAACTTTTATGTTTAGGTGACAAGCAGCTATCATAAAAAGAAGTATGACATTGTGGCAGCAATGGGTGGCTATACATTTGAACCCAAGGATACTTTCGAGGTAATACAAGAGGATTGGAATACTACAAATGACAAGACTAATGGATTTTATGTATAGGTTGTGGATGAAGAACTGCCATTGCCATCAGCACAAGGGGAAAAGAAGAAATCACAGCCTGAGCCTGAAGAGAAACCAAAGAAAATGTCCAGGTTCAAGGCTGCACGACTTGCAAAACTTGATAGACAAGAAGAGTAGTGATGGATACAAAATATACATCATTAATGTGAAACAAAAGTGTGATGAATGTGATGTCTTTTTGGGGTGTTGTATCAATATTACAATATACGAATGAGAAGGATTGGTACGGGATCAGCATACGTTGTCGCTTGCAGGTTGTGGTGTCAAGGCACATGCACGTTGCTCTAATTTACGCCATACCATTTCACGATGTTGTCGATGTTTTTGCCTTTGAATGATTGGATTAGCTCTTGATTACTTTACTGGGGAGAAAGAGGTTTCATGTACCTGTCAATCTCTTCTTGCCTAAAATGGTGCGTGCATTCATCAAACAATCCTGGATTGATATCAACAAACATCCTCAGCGCTGTATACACCAGACCATGAATTGCCCTATTAAAGAATGTCAGCGTGCTATCCAAGCAATGGGCTTGCATCCTATAAAGTATATGTGCGTACCTATTCCAATGGCGTTTTGAATGATCATACAGTGGAGGGAACATGATTGGCATCACTGTGTCGATATTGCAGCTGATCAGATTCACAATGTAATCGTTATTCCAGAAATAAAGAGCGCGTTCAGCAACCTAACGCATGATGTGAGGATATAGAATAGATGGGTTGAGGGATAAAGTATATACCTGAAAGTGAGGGCTTGAGACACATTGTGCCAGACGCTGAAATACGGGGACCATCACTGGAGCCAATTCGATAGAATCAGTAACATCAAGGATGTTTTCAAGTTCGCCAAGGTATAAGACTTCTTTGCTGCTATTCACTTTTGGCCAATAGCGCAATAGAGCGTTTACAACCTGGTTTGTATAATAGCATTACTCGCTTGTTATCATTCTTTTCTCATGCACTCCCACATACCTCTGGTGTCAGTGTTGGATCCTTTTCTAAGAATTGAACGACGCAATAATCCAGCTGAGGGTGATACAACGTAAGTGATGGCGCCTTGTGGAGGGGCATCAATACACGGAATAAAAAGGTCTTGTGCTCTTCTTTGAGTGGCAAAGCAAATCCATTGATAATGCTATTGTATGCTGTGAGGATCTCGCTTGCTTGTCACAACCTACAATTTCATCCCATGCTTACCTTCCTAAGATCTCCAATAGCTCAGCAATGCCATTGAATCGCTCCGTTTCATATATAAATTGCAAGAAGACGTGATTGATGGATTTGCGTATGAATGCTCGTAGGTTCAGGAATTTTCCATAAATGCGATGCAAGATCGTTTTGAGCAAATCACGCTCACGTGGATCTTCAGTATCAAATAACTCCAATAGCTACATGTAAGATAGATGTATAAGTGTGACGCTGATAGTGAGCTTTGCAAGAATGCTATATGTGTGAGGATGTACCTGCAACACAAACTTGTGATCGATATGCCGTTTAGCTGCATGAGCATTAAAATCGGGCGATTCAATGAACTTTAAAAAGATCTCGTACACCAATTGGATATGTGGCCATGCTGTTTCCAATGCTGGTTCTTCCTCATCCGTGTCGAAAGCTTCATTGTACATATCCGTTTGAGGCGGGATCGTCCGAAAAAGATTAACAGTAAACTACATTCAGAGCATGGATGCGTCATTAATACATATCAATGTCCCCTGGTACGTTGCTTACCATGCGAACAATGTCGGCATAAATAGTTGGGTTGATAGCACCACGAGTGGTTGAGATATAATCAAGGATCTCCTGTAATGCGCTGCGCTTGATCTCCTTATTCATCAAATCAGAGGATACGTTATCAAAGTCGAAAAGCACTTGGCATTGATTGAGCTTCTTAAGCATCAGGTCTTGTCTTTCTGAAGGTGCCACCTCTTGAAAAACAGGGGGGGTTGGTAAGCATTATGTGTGTGATCAAGCATAGTGATCATTTACCATGGAAATCGGGATAGCGTTCAAGTTCGACCTTGTGGGCGACATGGAAACGAGATGATTTTTGACGGCGAGGAAGCTTCCCAATAGGTAGAATCGTATCCTTTGGCATCATAGGTGAGCAACTGACACCTTCTTGTTGAGATCGGTTCAATGCTGGTGGTGCCTGAATTCCTGCATTGTCACCAAGTTGGCTTTCCTACGATCAGACAACGCTCAGCAGCCCATCACAAGTGAAGTCAAGAAGAACATTGTCTACCTACATGTTGCAGATCAGACGCCAGTGTAGAGGTTTTTCGAGATCGTGGTTCGGAAGACTTGGATCTTGTCAGCTGTGGTGGAATGCCGAAACGCGAAAATTAGTCTTGTGCGACATGGCAACACATCACATCCAAACTCACCACGCCTTTCAGACCTTTCATCATGGTAGGCAGGGAATAGGAAAATAAGATGTAGTGAAATAGCCGCAAAAGAACAAGGTGAATGGCTCTTTGGATTGCGGGTCAATGTAGTATGGAAGGAGTATATGTGTTCGCCCCTCTATTCAATCGGCTTTCTAAAGGGATAATGCAAAGGGAGTTCAAGGTCAAGGTATGTTTACAGGGTTATAACAGCAGCTCTGCTTGTGTGTGTGTGCAAAATACTTTGTTCATCTTATGGTCCATTGAACAAGGGGTACAAGCAATAGGAGAGGGTGTTTGTAGATCTTGACCGCTATTGTCTTGATGGGTATCTGATTTGGTGGTATCTTATCCAAAACCCCGTGTACTACTTTTCATTTCGAAGCTGCTGGATATGTAACTCCTTATTCCTCTTTGTTGTATTTTCGAAGAATGAAACCCAAATTGCTCAAGATAAAGATTGTCTATGTACTTCAACGATGCACTTGCTTTCTCACCACCATTGATAAGTGATCTTGCACTGATGGAAATTGTATGATACACTGCATATGTATGGCAAAACTAGAACACCGTGACAGGATAAAGAACACTTGGGCCGATCGCTTTGCTTATCCCATTATGACCGTCCATTACGTAGATGAGGTCCAAGCATGAAAGCGGCACTGCTAAAGTTTACGGATGATTTGACCTTGGTGAAACGATGATGATGGGTGATTTGACAACAACAATGCAGCACCTGCGGCCACACAACAGAGAATGCACCGGATCCCGTCAACAATGCAGCCAATAATTGGGTGGTGTCGATGATTGTATTAGCCATTAGAGCGATAGTGAATCTGGTTATAGAAAGAATGATGGTTTTAATGAGGTCAATAAAATGAGATGAGCTGCTGGGATCCACTGCTACTTTAGCTAGCAATTGACTGCTGCAAATAGATTAATACCATGCTGTGTGTAGAATGGATGATGATAGGTGAAAAGCAAATTACGTTTCAAGCTTCATGCACTTTTACAGAGGATACATTTGAATCCACTAATCATTTTTGGCTTATTGACCATGCCATGTTTAGCTTGAAAAAGATTCCATACGGGCTATCATAGGCGGACCTTTCTATACGTAGGTAGGTGGGCAGGGAAAGGATCTTTCATGCACTCTACGCCAATAGAATTGTCAGCCCTCTTGCTCTGTGACACAAACACGCCCCTCTACATCTTTCGCTCTGCCAGGGTCATTCTACTTGACATTCAATAAAGACCACTTCCCATATAGCATCACGCTTAAGCATATGTAAAACATAAACGCACTCGTATCTCCAAACTTTACAATCAAACGTGGGGTCTTTAATAGAACAGAGTTGCTCGGCGGGGTCAAAGTGATCTTGTGTCAAAATATGAAGTCGATCGTGGCCGACAGATTTCGCAATGTCGCTACCAGCCAAACTGGATCCAGGGGTCGACCTCTTCGAAGACGACGACCAAAAAATATTTTTTGGGCTAGTTGCGACATTGAACGTGAAACTTTCACACAAGGTGCTGTTGGCCAAGCCGAGCACATTGCTCTATTCAAAACCCCACGTTTCATTGTAAAGTTTGGAGATA